ATCGGAGGGGGAGACGAACCATGAGAGACGATGGACTCTGAAAAACAAACTGAGGGTTCTGGGGGCGGGATGGGTTAGCCTGGTAATGGGTATTAAAGAGGGCACGTTTTGTGTGGAGCACTGGGTGTTATGCAGAAACAATGAATCATGGAACACTACATGAAAAACTAATGATGTAATATGGTGATTAACATAACAATAAAAAATTTAAGAAAAAAATAAGTTCTCACATATAGACGGCTTTAAATGATCTGGCATCAAAAAGAGTGGCTTGAAGTTAGACTATTTTAGCAATGGGTTTAGAAGTTGCAGTATCCTGGATGTGACTGGGAAAAAGCCAAGAATCACTGTATGAAATAACAGCGCTTATTACATTTTGACAGCAAACGGTGCTCTAAGGTAGTATTTTTCACTGGGGACTGTAGATCCAAAATGATTCCCCAGGCTTACTGATTCAGTCTTGGTGGCTCAAACCATTTGCATATTTCACATGCCAGGGATTCTTATGTACACAGCGGGGGCACATTATTGCCCTGAAAAGCAATAGATGGCAGATGTTTAAAAGCATTGGGACATTTTCTTAAACAAAAAAAAAAATCTTAAGCATAAGCCCAGGACTTAAAACAGTGTGGCTATTCTATCCGAAGTGTGTCTGTCCCCTCTCCCCAGTGCGACACACCACCAGCAGGGAGTTTAAGAAATGAACATCCATTTTGAACACCGATTTTCTCAAGGTGTTATTTCCTCTAAGGTAGTGGTGATTTTCAGCCTTGGCCAAACGTTGGAATAACACTGGGGAGACGTAAAAGGAATATGGTGCCTGGGTCATGTTCCCCGCTCTTGGAAGTTGATTTAATTGGCCTGGGGTGTGACCTCTTCCCAGGTGATACTAATGTTCAACCTAGTTTGAGAATTGGTTCCTATCCTTCCCAAGTAAGTTAGTAGCTACTCCTTTGATTTCTCTTTGCAGTGAATGAAGAAACAGCCCATCGCATTAAATGAATTATTGTCAGAAGCCATCAGCTCCGATGCCAAAGGGATGCATGGAGAGGGGTTGAGGGGAGGGAAGAACCAAATGGTCGGCAGTTCTTCTTGCTTCCATGACCCCACAGCACGAGTCTAAACTAACAGGACCTGTAATAATGGCAGGAGGCCAGAGGGACTGGGTGTCATGTGTCACAAAGGAGGTGTCGATAAAGAAAAGTTCAGGAATGATTTCGTTTCTTTAACGTAAGGGTAAAAACAGACTAAACACGATAAGCTTCAAAATACGTTTCCATTTTTTAATTTAAAAAATAAATAACAGCAAATATGAACAAAATTTTTCTACTTCAATGCACATCTTCCTAACGGTCCATGTTTGAAACCCAACTAGTTTACAAAATCCTGGCAACAGAGCCTTTGACAAAGTCTGGATGAACAACTTACAAAATGTGACTAACAGATGAGTTTAGGCAGCATATGTGGGAGACCAGCATTGGTCAGCCTGAAATCATCAACTTAAAGGAAAACTTTTTCTTTTTGTAGGTTAGAACTGTGTGGTTCCACACTCAACCCACCCAAAACGGAACTTACCTTTTCCAACTAATTCTAAAATCCCACTTGGTCAATGGCGTGTGGGCCTAAAAGCCGTTGTATGGAAACTTCGTTGCCTTCTGATTCTCTCTCTCATTCACTTAGAATCAAAGAAAGCGAGGGCCGAAAGGATTCTAAAAATCACATAGCTTCGGATATGTATGTTTTACATGGGGAAAATGAGGCCCAGGGACTGACTATAAATCGACTTGCCAAACAGTACATGGTCTTTACTGTCCTGTTCTGTGCTGATGGTGGGGTTTTTCCCCTTTTTTCATTCTACCCGAGCAGTGAGAGGAAGGAAGGTACAGCTATGAATGGTCTTCTAAATACCTTTTGCAGAAGGACAGCATGGACATGAGGGGAACTTCTGGGGTTCTGGAGGTAGTCTAGGTCTGGATCTGAGAGGTGGTGATGCAGTACCTGCCTGGGTCAAGTTTCATCCATCTGTACCCCTAAGATTTGTGCACTTGCCCATATGTATGTTAAGACATGCCTCGATTTTAAAGGACGAAACCCCATGATCTGGGGGCCAGTAGAGGGGAAGGACTCCCACAGCTTGGGAAAAGTTAACAAAGGTAGATTGTTATCTCAAATCCCGCTTTATCTCTTGTTTGTTTTAGGGATCTGCAGGGTGACGGCATTTTTCATGGGTCTCCCTGACGGGAGAGGACTACAATTCTGGAATCCAGATGGGAGGTGGAAAAGGGGAGGCCCATGGCCCAGCAGCCGTACTGAGGCTTTCACTTTCTCCTAATCCTACTGTCTTGACAACCCCACAGCACAACACAGTCTCTGCATACCAGGCTGTTCCCATTGGATACACTGAATTGCCACAACCTGAGAGTCTCGTACGGTGTCTGGCATTCAATAAGAGCTTAATAAATGTTGAATAAAATGATTCTTGAAAACATAAAAAAATCTCAAAGGAAGACAAGTCACCAGAACAGAGAGAGAGAAAATAAGGGATTAAAAAAAAAATCCCATAAGGTTGTGACATCCAGAAATGTTGTGACAAGTTTGGGAGCTACTTTCAATGTCCTTCAATATTCCAGAGTTCTTATCAAGGGAAATAAAGACCAGTTCTTTCCTCTTTTATTCCCGGCCCCTCATCTCTCCTATATGCAGGGTAATCATAAGGCATTTCCTTGCAGTCTTCCTCTTTGACTTCAGGACAGACATGATTTATGATCTTTTGTCAAACATGACTCTGACCCAATGCCTTCCCCCATGTTCCCTATAATCTGCTATCCACACCATTACCTAGAATCCTTTCTATTCAGGCAGGAAAGACTTAGCATTTTCATTAAGATAGGAGGGGAATCAGATGCAAAAATGTTCTATTAAAAAAGGGAAGGTACTTGGGCACCAGTGTATCAGACTTCCCCAGTCCCTAATCAAAGACCACACTGCAGAACTCACTTGCACTGCTCTGAAGGGACATGCTTGAGGTTTGGTATTTTTTGTGACCAGCTTACCTCTTTTTATTTGAAAGGCAGCCTGAAAAATCGGGTGAGTGAGGCCTACAGATCCCTGCTAGCCAGTCTGTGAGGCTACTTCTCAGAAGCTGCTCTGGGCTCCACAGAAGCCCCGTATAACCTTCCCGTTCCTTCTCTTCTTTGAGTTCTTTCCACTAAAAGCCTTTTTGGTTCTTACTAACACTTCTTCTTTAGTCATAAATAATTATGTAAGAGACTCCAAAAGATGCCATTTTTTTTAAAGGGACTGTATGTGCACAGCTAACTTGCACTCACTTTCCAGATTACCTCAGGGGGAAAAAAAAATCAATAATGCTCTTAGAGAATTCCAGATCTTACTCAGGCCGAGCAGAGGAAAGGACGGATCATTTCGTCCCTACTACTCCACACAGCCGATCTCACTTGAACCTCATCTGTGTGGCAGGTACTGTTCCCTGTTTCAGAAGGGGAAGAAATGAAGGCTCAGATGATTGCAAAGAATTTAGGGGGTTTGCAAAGTTACCAGACGACATAGCTGGGATGGTCGGAGACCAGATGGCTTACTTCCAAAGCCCAGCTCTTGTCTATCCCCTTGAACGTCCCCCTGAGTGGAGGTGAAGAACCACCTTTTCCTCACCACTTTTAAATATGCACACTAACTGCTTGAGGAATGCTGGCCACATCTTTCCCCGACTCTGTGAAGCATTAGTATGTCTCTTCTAAGAAGGGTGGTATTGAAACGGGTACACAAAGAAGCAGGCAAGCAAATCTGGATTCTCAGAGGTGAAATCTCTCTTTCCTCTCTCTCTTTACCTTGGGGCTGGGTAGGTGGGGAAGGGGACTGGGCCCAGTTACAGAAGGAACCCTGGTGAGCTTCCCCACATGCTGACCTAGGGGATCCACATAAAGCTTTCTACTTTGCCATAAATGTCAAAGTGGTATAGAAATATCCGGGACATTTCCACTGTTGTTCCAACTAGGGGTAGGTATTCATCATGGAGTATGTCAGGGTTGTCTTCTCGATCGAAGTGTTATCTGGGGATAGAGCCTCAATTAGCAAGCTGGGTTGTTAGTAAGAATCTGTAGTCAGATTTTCTGTGCTTAGCTTCACTTTCCTTGTCTACAAAACGAGGGGGTTGTTTGTATGACCTTTAAGGTCCTTCTAGCTCAAAACGTCTCTAACCTTGTGGGGTTTGTGTAGGTGTATGTAATATTTGATCATCTAAATCACCCCGTTTCTTCTTCCGAAAGGACTACTGACTTAGTACCATAAACATGTAATCAAATTAATTCCACAATCACGAGGAATAAATAATCAAAGGAAGATATTGCACTGTATTCTCCAGGGTAAAATCAGGTGGCAGAGAGGGGCCACTGAGCCATCCAAATGGGATCTGGAAGAGAAGCGGCTGAACCCGGGCTTTGAAGTCCCTTCTGTCCAGTGATTTGCGCTCAGAGGAGGTAACAGGGCAAGAAATTGTGCAAAAGAAAGAGCTTCAAGGGAGTCTGTAGCAGGAAGGAGTGACTCGGTGTGGTGACGGCCGGTGAGTTGGTAGTGTGAGGGCCTCCTGGGAGGGTTCCCACACCACACGTAGTAGCTGGCGTGGGGGCAGACAGGAGCTCGGACCTCACAGTCGAGTCCATGTTTTTTCAACAACGATGGCCAGTCACACGTGAAAGTAGCCCATCTTTGTTACAAAGATGTTCTTTTCCTTAAAGGAGACACAAGCAGACTTCAGGAAGATAGGATTATTTCGGCTACCGAAGTCCCTGATGCACGTCTCTTCCAATGTTATTCGGGACATAGTGTGTCCACGTGAGAAAACCAAGTCTCAAGCATAGCTTTTCACAAGCAAAGCAAGAAATCCTTCCAAAGTGGAGGTTCCTGGGGTTGCTCCAAGACCACCACAGAAGAATGTAGCCAGGCTTCTGTAGGCTGTGGTGGCCTCTGCGCTGGAGGCGTAATTTAATCACGGTGAGGAGAGATCTCTCCTTTGAGAAACAGAGGACCCGACCAAATCTGGAATTCATGTGGGTGGGAGGAGATGTGGACTTCAGCCTCCTTCAGAGAAGCCTTTCAAAGAACAACCAGTTTTGAGCTGGTGCAGCTGACCCCAGATCAGGAAGGGGTGGGGTGGTCAGCCAGAGGCCCTGGGGAATGAGGACAGGGCATCTTCTCAGCTGTTCAAGGTGTTCAGAGTTCCAGAGACAGGGTGGCAAGATCCTTACTGGGATCCAGGCTCAGAAGAAAGGAAGCCAGATTTCCGAGCTTTGGGAGGTGGTGGGGGTGGGGCTTTGGCTTCTCTGCGGACCGGAAGTGGAGGGGCAATCTGAGGGAGTGGACACAATGGAAGTCAAATGAGTCTTATCTTTCCTCCTGATTCGCTTTCTCGTCCACATTTCTGACATAGTGCTTTCGCTTCTAACTGATCTATCTATGCAGCCTTGGCAAGGAGAAAAGGGAAACAACCCTCATTTAACTTCCCTTTTTCTCCTTGGGTTAATCAGATATACACCAAAATGTTATATCCCCGACACTTGGGTTCTTGGCGTATCTATAGATATTCCATTGAACGAATGCAGGAAACCCATCAGAGGCCATTCCAGAATGACTGTCACTCACTCAGAAGGAGTAAACTCTTCACATGTGAACCCGAACCCACTGATTTCACTCACCTGTACCAAGGGTGAGGTACAGAGAAAGCCTCTACCTTCGATCTGACGAAAAGGTCTGCCTGTATTTGTGTTACTTCCCATTAGAAACTCCCCCATCTTTTTATGGTTGCAGGCATGAGTCAAGAAGCGATTAGAGCAACAAATCTACGGGAAACCCGCCTAGCAAAAAGCTTGGAAAACCAGCTTTGCGCTCCCGTGAGTGGGGCGCTCTGACCCCAGCCGTTGTTCCCTACCTCCGTGGAGTTCCTCTGGCTGCTCTCGTAGGGCTTGCTTTTGGGGGGAGGGGGAGGTGGGACAGTAGTAGTCATCAGCCCATCTGTCTGCAAAGATGGGGAGCCTAGAAATGAGACAAAGTAGATGAAGACGGAGAGAAGAATTCATCAAGGAATACTACAGAACCTCTGCCTAAACCAACCTGGCCAATCAAATTGCTAAGGTGATATTCTATAGTTTCCATGGACAGAATGGAAATGTCCTCTCAGCCCTCATGACAAATGCTGCACTGTTTGCTCACCAGAAGCTTTCACAAGAAGTTCTGAAGCAAAAATCCTCCCCCCCCTTTTTTTTTGCTTAGGGTTTTTACTATTAAGCTGGAGATGAAGACATTTTCTAGAACTTAGGTATGACTCTATTCTCTGATCTATCCCAAGTGCTTAGAAAAAATGTCTGTCACAAAGTAAGCGGTCAATAAATACTGGTTAAATTTAACTGAGCTGTCTTAGTTTGATCATTTAAAGGGTGCAATCTCCATTTCCTCCAGGACACCTTCATTCTAACTCTTGGTTGACTCCCATGTCCCACGTGGCACGATGATTTACCCCTCCATTCTTTGTACCAAGGGTACCTTGGAATTCTTCTCAGGCCTTGTGTATTGCTGATTCCCCAGGCCTGACTGTAAGCAGTATATGGAACGGGTGTATTTCTTATCCTTTTTGGGGACCCTTTCCTATACAAGGACAGGGCTACCTACTCAGTAGTTTGTAAGTTACTTGCTTCCTGTCTGGTCCCCGTCTGGCTCTACCTCATTTGTACCTTCACAAATGGAAAAGGAGTCGTGAGACCCTCTGGGTCACTCTACAGAGGTTAATGAATCCTAGTGACCCAAAGACTCCTTGTCGAACTCTAATTTTGCTATACCCTCTACCATGGAGTGAGCCAACTTTATAATAATCTCATATACTGTGTGGCTGTTCTGGCTAAATATGGTCCAGATCCATACAAATACTCCTTTCCCTACTGAAGCAAAGAGAAGGGATATACCTGTATCTCTCTACATCTCTGTGTGTGTGTGTGTGTGTGTGTGTGTGTGTGTGTGTGTGTGTGTGTATAAAACTTACTTAGGGTCCTGGTGGCTTTAGGAGTGAGTGGAGGTGGGCTCAAGGGCGTCGACTGAAGAGGTGAAGAACCATGAAATGGCGTCAGCCGATTGTCCGACAACTGGAGACTCTTTGGTCTTTGCGCTTTTCGGGCTGGGCTCTAGTGGGGGGCGGGGCACAGCAAAACATTCTCGCAGTGAGAAAGGCTGAGCTCATCAACGCTCCGAACAACCTCGCCTGCTGAGCACCAGCTTGTCAGAGGGAAGATTCCAGAAGCCGCTCTTGAGCTTCCCGCACGGTCATGCGGCAAGCACGGTGAAGACACTGACGGGGATTCACTGGAGCCGACATTCTCTCCTGGCCGGCCATGAGCCTGACTCTGAGCACGGTTAGACCGTGTTATTTGGGTTGGGGAGGAGCCACCCCGATTCTTAGGGAAGGCTGGTCTTGCCACCCTCAACAACTTGCTGTGGCTCATGGAAGAAGAAAAAGCACTTTTTTTTTTTTTTTTTAAGTTAAAAGAAGAGAAATGACAATGTTTGGACTGACTCATGGAACATGGTGGTGAGAGCCACAACTCCAAGCGTCAGCCCACGTGTTTACATTGTGGGTACAAGATCTTGCACCACTGCTGATTTAGACACTCAAATTCTCCCTCTGTGCTTTTGTTTTGTTTTGTTTTTTAAGCAGTCTAAGATCAGACACTGTCACAGGCTGCCGGGTGTGACTCACAGCTCTGCAGTGAGGGGTGCTGTGCCCGGCTGAGGCTGTGGGGAAAGCACTAGCAAGTCTCTGGTGCTCCTCAGCTTGTCCCTGCCTCCGCACCCCCCCCCCCCGACCCCAACCCCCCGTTGTTGTTTTTACCATCAGATCAGGTTCTGGCACTTTCTCTGCAATGACCTGGGACTTGCTGAGGCTCCAGTCTTTTCTCTTGAACTTGCTGATCCGGTTCTCACTGTCCTCTTTGAGGGGCAGATCTTCAACTCTGGCACCTGATGAAGCCCTGCGCTCTAAAAGTGGCTCCAGGATTGACCTATCAGCCAAGGGCAAGGATGGAATTACAAAACACTGACCACTTGGCAGTCAAAATGTACTCCCACAAGACCAGGGATTAGGACTCCTCAACCTCATCTTGGCTTGTGATTCCCTCTCAGGTTCTGAATCTGAATTTCCAACTGCCAATTAGACATCTCAAGGTATCCATGAAATGAGACCATCAAAGTATGAAAGGAAAGTATCTTTGAACATTCATCGTATCCCAGGAAGAGAAAGTCTTATTAAATTTACAGGCAAAGATAGAATTCACACCGTAGAAGACGAATAAGCAGCTTTAGACAGTGGAGAACAGCACATGTCCCAGAGACAGACAACCTGTGTTCAAATCCTACTTCTACTTACCTCTTGGGTGATCTTGGGCAGAAAAATCTTTTCATACCTCAGTTTCTTTATCTATGAAATGGGGACAATAATAGTACCTACCTCATAAGGCTATCACAAATGCTTAGAACAAGGGTCTAGCATATATGCATGCTCCTGAAATGCTTTTATTAACTATGACAGATTTTCAAGCACCATAGTGAAAACTGTTTCACTTAAGAATCATGATTAGGGGACGCCTGGGTGGCTCAGTCGGTTAAGCGTCTGCCTTCAGCTCAGGTCATGATCCCAGCGTCCTGGGATCGAGCCACACGTCAGGCTCCCTGCTCAGGGGGAAGCCTGCTTCTCCCTCTCCCACTCCCCCTGCTGTGTTCCCTCTCTCGCTCTCTCTCTGTCAAAATAAATAAAATCTTTAAAAAAAAGTCTTTAAAGAGACATCACCCTAAAATATACTTAAAAAAAAAAAAAAGGATCGTGATTAGGTGCTAGAGAGAGGAAAAGTTTGATGAGAAACAGGATAGTCTCACAAGATTTCCCCATAAACTACTTTTTAAATACAAAGGAAAAAATAGTAACTCGACAGAAAAGAAAATGGACAAAACTTTAACCACATACATGGTCAGTTAACATCACCCATGGGGGACAAATGGACATAATGCACTCCTGAGTATGATACCTAAAGGGACACAACAAGACACAAAAGTCTGTCACTTGACTCCTAAGCACAAGCACACATAAGACAAACCCAAACGAAGGGAAATTCTATAAAATAACTGGCCCTTAATCTTCAAAAATGTCAATATGATGAAAGACAAACTAAGGAAAGGCCAAACGACTTCAGATTAAAGAAGAATAAAGAGGTGTGGCCAAACAGAGCATGTGATCCTGACCGGGTCCTGTATCAGAAATTGCTCTGTATAAAATACACAGTGGGACAACTGACAAAACTGGAAGCCAGGTTAGAGTTTGCAGTATTGCATCAATGCCAAATCTCCTGAATGGACAGGCTGTAGGTCGTATGCAGTTATATAAGACAAGGCGTTTGCTCTTACAGTATGAAGGAAGTACATAACCTACTCTCAAATGGGGGAGAGGGGCTGCTGGGGGAAAGACAGAGAGGGAATGACTGCAGCCAAATGTAAAACCAAGGACGGTTAAAAAAGATCTTATACCTTTATGATGGCTATTGCTTAGAGCTTCTGGATGGGTATTCAATAAGCCCTGGTTTGATTAAAAATTGACAGATTTTTGCTCCATAAAAATAAAAAACTCAGAGGAATGAATAGGCAGACGACAGGATTTTTAGGGCAGTGAAATTATTCTGTATGATACTACAGTGGTGAATACTTGTCACTATACATCTGTTGAAACCCAAAGAATGTACACCAAGAGGGAACTCTATCGTCAACTATGGACTCTGGGTGACTGTGATGTGCTAACGTAAGTTCATCAGTGGTAATGAATGTACCGCTCTGCTTTACATTCTTAATCTTGCTGTGAATTTAAAACTGCTCTAAAAAATAAAGTCCATAAAACACACACACACACACACACACACACACAAAAGCTGTGGTATGAAATAAGACAACATAAAAACAGAGATGAGCTCTTAGTATTTAAAAAAAACAATAGAAGCTTCTGGATGCCTGGGTGGCTCAGCCGGTTAAGCATCTGCCTTCGGCTTAGGTCATGATCTCAGGGTCCTGGGATCGAGTCCCACCTTGGGCTCCCTGCTCAGCAGGGAGTCTGCTTCTCCTTCTGCCCCTCCCCCTTGCTTGTGCTCTCTCTTTAATAAATAAAATCTTTAAGAAAATAAAAAGTAAAAAAAAATTGAAGCTTCTATTTGGCAGAAAGCATCATTAGTAAACTAAAACTATCTGCTGAACCTATTTTAGATGGCAAGTATCTTTAATATAGAAGACATTTTTACAAACCAAAAGGAAAAATATGAGTTCAGTTTTTTAAAATCGTCAAAGGACATAAATAGGTATTTTATGAAAACGGAAATCCAAAGAATTTTAAAAAGTTAGTGTCACAAGTTATCAAATACTCAAACAAGATATCTGGAGGGGGCAAAGACTTTTTTACATTTTATTATGGAAAATTTCAAACACGTAACAAAGTGAAGAGATCACGAAAAACTTCCACGTGTCTATCACTCAGTGTCAATAATGATAACCCACGGCCATTCTGCTTTCTTATGTACACCTAAGTCACATTCCTTGCCCCTCACTAAATCGGTTGGAAGCGATTCTTAGATGTCATATCATCTCATCCATAAATATCTCAGTGTATACCTCAGTGAGGCAAGGACTCACTTCAGAACATAATTACACTCCCAACATCTGTCCTGCAAAAGGAATAATTCCTTCATTTCATTGAACATCCAATGCTTACATTTCCTGATTGTCTCATAAATTTCTTGGAAGTGGCTTGTTTGAGTCAAGATCCAAACAGGATTCACTCGCTATGTTTGGTTGAAATGCTTAAATCATTTTAAGCTTTTAATATTGCGTGGTTTCCGTTTCTGCAAAGTGTATTTACCTTACTCTGTGAAGGTAAAGGGAGAAAGTTCCAGGGAAGTCTGAGTGAGGCTGAGCCCATACAGTCACACTGGGAAATGTCTGTAGATGGTGGTTTCTTCTTTTTTTTAACTTTCAAATTATTCCCTCCTTTTCTATTATTTTTTAAAAGACTATCTGTATGGGCTTTTAATTTTTTGGTATTTTTCTTTCTTTTTTTTTTCAGAGAGAGAGAGCTCGTGAAGGGTGGGGAGGGGAGAGGGAGAAGGAGTGAGAGAATCTTCTTTTTTAAAGATTTTATTTACTTATTTGAGAGAGACAGAGACAGAGAGAGCAAGTGGGGGGAGGGGTAGAGGGAGAGGGAGCAGACTCCTCACTGAGCAGGGAGCCCGATGTGGGACTAGATCCCAGGACCCTGAGATCATGACCTAAGCCAAAGGCAGATGCTTAACCAACTGAGCCGCCCAGTTGTCCAAGGGTGAGAGAGAATCTTAAGCAGGCTCCATGCTCAGCACAGAGCCCAATGCAGGGCTCGATCTCATGACCCAGGAATCAGGACCTGAGCCGAAATCAAGAAGAGCTGGATGCTTAACTCACTGAACCACCCAGGTGCTCCTTTGGTATTTTTCAATCATTAATATACTTAAGGGGAAGCCACTCATTATTATTTATCTTAACTCTGTACCGGTTAAAGAAATATAGAACCAAATTCCAAAAAAGACTAATTATTCTTAATTTTTCTTAAGATTTTATTTTTTTAAGTAATCTCTACACCCAGCATGGGGCTCGAACTTACAACCCTGAGATCAAGAGTTGCACGTTCCTCCGCCTGAGCCAGGCAGGTGCCCCAAGACTCTAATTATTCTTAAAACCAACTAAGCCAAATCAGACAAACAAACAAGATCACCTTAAACAGTAATTGGTCAGGGAGAAAGAAAACCACCACCCCAGATTATATGGAATCAATTATAACTTTACCTCAGAGACTGAGAATGAAGGCTGTGGGTCACTAGGTCGACAGTCAAAGACGCAAGTTTCACTAGGGCCTAATTAGGAACCAAACTAAAACATAAAGTAACTACAGTGTGGTCCCCCGGGGTCTGTGTTATTTTTTTCTTATAATGATTACTTCAGTGATTTTCCTGAAATATCAAAGATTAGTTTTTTTTCTAAACAATTTTGTTCTGGGTCCCAAACTTTGCTGGTGCTCTAAGCATGGACTTAGCTGGCCTTCTGGCTTCCCTTAACTCTATGAGCTGTGCTTCAGAAAGTAATTCTCTTTCTGAGCCTTGGCCTACCATTTGCCAGACAGGATGGATACATTCTACTTTCTTCCAATAGAGAACTGGCCCTTTACAGATGGCACCCTCAATAATCATCATGAAAGCATTAATAAATATTGTGGTATGACATTAGGAATGGGAGACTCAGGGTCATTAGCTGATAATCAGTCTGAGCTGCTTTAAAGAAACATCCTAAATAATGTTAGAAAATAGTATCAATGACTTATTACTCATTGGGGAAATTTGGGCAAGGTCAATAACCTACCTTACTCGGGTTGAGGCATGAAGAGGGCCCCACTCACCTGTTCTCTGTTTATTGCCCTGAGTGTCAGCACTCATGGTGTCTCTGATGTTCAATAGCTGTTTCAGATCTTTTCTTTTTTTGAGTGAGACCATTTATTTAAGAAAAGAGTCTCCCTGAACAGAACTTTTATGCTTTCTCAGAGTAGGTAGTATCTCTTAATGGCATTAAAAAAACCATAGAAGAGAAAAATAAATGAATCAAGGACTATCTAATATTTATTACACTAAGGATTAAAAATAGTGCAAATACCCAGTACTCATATTGCATATGGCACTGCATATCGGTATTCGTTTGACATCAGAATTGTGATAAATTTCATCCTCTGACTAGGGAATGTGTACTTCTAGAAATACATCCTACACTTGATCTTAGCCAAAAGGCCAAGAAGGGATATGAGAATGCATCCTAAATAACTGGAAAGCAGTCTGTACACATATGTTTGGTACAATTCTTAATAATAAAACTGCATTTTATATTGACAGAAGCTACATGTTTTCATAAGAAATTTATAATGAACTTTGATGATTACCTGTTTAGAAATAATGACAGAGCTTAAATATTTGACAGTAAGAGAAGGATTAAGTATGGTGCATTCATAGGATGCAGTGGTAAATAGCCAACAGAAATGATAAAAAGGGTATGTGAATGGCTCAGTCGGTTAAGCCTCCAACTCTTGATTTTGGCTCAGGTCATGATCTCAGGGGCGTGAGACAGACACCTGCATGGGGCTCTACGCTCAGCAGGGAGTCTGCTTGAGGATTTTTCTCTCCCTCTGTGTCCCCCGCCCCCGCTCACACACATTTTCAAAAGAAAAAAAAAATACCCATCATGTATATTAAATTAAGCAGCAGGTCACAAAATAGTACATGCGATGCTTTTCCAATTGTATAAAATGTATATATGCTTTTTTTGTTATATAACTAAACCTTAACAGTGATTACTTCTGAGTGATGATGTGATAAGCATTTTTCTTAGTACTTCGAAAAATTTCTATGTGTACATATATTAAGTATATAATTCGTAAAATACTGTTTTAAAATAGTATTTTAAACAGAAAGAACACAACTACAAATTCATTTTTTAAAAATATCTTAAATTTGAACATATGGAAAGGCAGTCCAGGTTTTTGGCAAGAAAGGTTTGACATCAAAAAGCCATCAGTCCTCCCAAAGTTAGTCCAGAAGTTTCACATGATCCCAATAAAAATAGCCATAGGATTCCAGACAAATGAATCTAAAAGTGAGCAGTGAGTAAAAGTTGCCAGATAAATTCTGAAAAGGATAACTAAAAAATAAAACCCTTTCAAATCTACAGTAGTTTTAAATACATAGTACTAGTACATGAACACACAGGGAGATCAAAGAAACGGGGGGGGGGAAGTCTGCAAATAGACTAAGGAACATATAAAAATTTGATTTTGTAATAAGGTTGACATTTCAAATCAGTAGAGAAAAGATGGTTTGCTCACTAAAGGTTACAGGGAAAACTGAGTAGTTGCATGGCCAAAAAAAAAAAAAAAAGTTGACTTCATACCTCACACTTTATACTCATATAAATTTCAAAGAATCACAGATTTAGTGGTGAATAGTGAAACTCTAAAATTAATTTTTTGCAGGCTTACAGTGGGGAAGGCCTTTAATTATAATATAAAATCCAGAAGCCCTGAAATCCAGCATTAATTTATTTGACTGCATAAAAAAAGCACAACTAAATAAAAAATGAGAGGCAAAGTCAAAAGATAAAGGAGAAACTGGAGGATGCATTTCAACAAATATTACAGACAGAGAAAACACAACAGAAACATGTACCCAGGGGGAGACGAACCATGAGAGACTATGGACTCTGAGAAACAAACTGAGGGTTCTAGAGGGGAGGGGGGTGGGGGGATGGGTTAGCCCGGTGATGGGTATTAAAGAGGGCACGTTCTGCATGGAGCACACTGGGTGTTATACACAAACAATGAATCATGGAACACTACATCAAAAACTAACGATGTACTGTATGGTGACTAACATAATAAAATTAAAAAAAAAAAAGTACCCAAAATACTTGACCATAGTTTGCAGAACATAAAATACAAATAGCTACTAAAAAATGAAAAGCAGCTCAGATTCACACAAAACAAGAGAAATAAAACCAAACCAAAATGAGACCCTAGACCATGAAAATATTCTCCACCTATCAGACTGGCGAAATTAAAAAAGCCAGTAATACACAATTTGGGGTGTGGGGGTGATGAGGCACCCTTGTATGCTGCTGGTAGGACTCTAAATTGGTATAACGTCTGTGGAAGTCAGTTTAGGAATAATTTTGAAAATTGCAACTATAAATGTTTGACAAAGCAGTGTCACTTCTGGAATTTTTCTCATATGGATATATTTGTATATTTACAGAATAAATTTAGTTTTTAAGCTTATGCACGGCCACAGTGCTATGACAGCCAAAGATTGAAAACAACTAAACATCCACTAATAGGCACCAGTGGAATGTATCAGGGTGCAGACATATCCCAAGATGTCTGTACCTCAAGGAAAAGACGAGGCTCTCTACATTCTGAAATGGAATGATTGTCAAGACACAGTTAAGTAAAAAAAGCAAGGTAAAGAAAGTATTACGTTTCCATTCATATAAAAAGAAAGCGAGAGGAAGAATATATATTTAGGTATTGCTTGCGTGTGTATGAAGAGCTGTTGGAAAGGCACCAAGAACCTGAAGGCTAACGTCACTTGCCTCCGCAGAGGGGTACTGGTAGGGTAGGAATCAAGGACCGATGGGTGATTTTTCATGAGAGATCCCTTTTGTACCTTGGAATTTTGTATCATGTAATTACATTACCTGTTTACAAAATAAATATAAACTTTAAAATTACTTTTGAAAATTGATTCATATAAAAAAATCAGACCATAAGTTAATATGAAAAAAATAAATCAGAATGTGATAGGGTGGGTGATAGGATGTGACAGGATGATGGGTGATTATGATCTCATGAGGAAGACAATGAGAATGATCCAGAGGCTAACAGCCATATGCTCTGAATTATTTCCCTTCTAACAGTGATGCATCTACACTGACCAAGGCTCCCTTTGGTGACAAAAGGCAAAGGTGAGGCAAACTGCATCCCCCACCCCACCGCCAATTAAAAATTGAACCCTTACCCATCAGATCCTGGTCTGGAAGGAGCATTATCGGATGAGTTAGAAGAGGTGGAAATCACCGAGGAAGTCACTGAGGTGATGGACAATCTCCGCAGCGTAGATGACATGATGTAGGGTAGTACAAGAGACCCTGTGCGGCTTTGCTTCCTCTCAGTCAAGGTGGGTGGCTGAAGAACACATGGCATCTCATGGTGAGCTGGCCTGGAACTCAGCCCATATGGACTGGTGCACCCCCATCCGTTTGTGGCTGCCATTTGTATTGGCCGGCACCCACTGCTGCCTCACTTGTTAGGTATCGCAGCTACTCCTATTCTTAAGTATAGACACAACTAGGTTAAATCTACCTTGTTAAGGCTAGAGAAAAATTCCCCATAATTTGCTGCCAGCCACGTAAGAGAGAAAAAGGAAGCTGTTTATTACCCCCCAACAGAAGAGCAAAACCCTCGGTCTGCTTCTCCAGTTTAGCTTCTTTCAGCCACTAGAAAAATAGAATACTGGCCTAATAGAAAGTTTTAGATCCAAACTGTAGACCTGATGCTTAGGAAGTAAGTGGTGTATCTTAAAAAGTAAAGGGACATTGATATTGATCTACTTTCATTAGAAATGTCTCCAGTAGGACTGATTGCCCCAACTGGCCACCGTATCAAATTCACATGCAACCACTGGCCTGGATCTAATAAAAACTACTCACTAGGTGAAAGTCACAGTCCTTCCCATCTAGGAACTTGTGTAAAAGACAAATGTTCCTAGGAAAAAGCTCTTAACTGGCAGTAGGTTAGGAGGTTAGACATGACTGAACACTTGATTAAAAGCAATGATCACAAAGAAACTCTGGAGCAAAGGGTAGTAAAGACGGAGGTGTGGGAATTGGAGGCAGGAGGGCACGAAAGGAATTTCAGAGCTTTGACCCAAGGAAAGAGAATTTGAAAATCAGGAGTTCAAGCGTGAGACAGTTAGAAAGCAAGGTGAACTCATATTAAAAAGAGGAGACATGGGGCACCTGGGTGGCTCAGTCAGTTAAGCATCCGACTCCTGGTCTCGGCTCAGGTCATGAGACCAAGCCCTGTGTCAGGCTCTGCACTCAGCGGAGATTCTGCCTCTCTTGCTCTCTCCCTCTGCCCCTCCCCCTGCTCACGCATGCACAGGCTTTCTCTCTCAAAAAATAAATCAATCTTAAAAAAAAAAATGGAAAAATGAAGCTGCATCCAAACATTTAATCGACTGTTGGAGAGAAAAGGTTATTTATTGTTTATTCTTTTATTAAGTAACCTTTATGCCCAACGTGGGGCTTGAACTCATGACCCCAAAATCAAGACCTGCATGCTTTACCAACTGAGCCAGCCAGACGCCTCAGAGACAAAAGGTTATTGAGCGCATGCACCAACCCACCCAACTTCTTGGGAAGAAGAAAACTGTCACTGGGAGAACTGTGTTAGAACTGTTGGAAAAAAATGATGAAATCAGCTATATGCATTGTGAAATGCACTTCACCATTCTTTATCTCCTTCAAAGTCGTCAACAGTGGAAACCTTTCATCAAAATGAAAAATAAACACTAGGAAAAACACTAAGAATTGGGCTAGACGGGACAGGAACGATCCGCGTCTGGGAGCAGGAACGCCCCAACTGCTAGGAGAGGAGCGCGCACACTGGGGGCCCAGATCAGTGGCCTCAGCCCCACGTGGGAGCACGTGAGGAAGGGAAACCCTCGGGCCACTGTAGACTTCTTATCAGAAATTCTGGAGCTGTGGTCCAGTGGTCTGTGTTTTTCACAAGCCGTCCAGGTGGTTTGGACAGTCACTCAAGTCTGAGAACCCCTATGTAGCACATCACTGTTAGAAGGTCACCAAAAGCTCACCATGTGCTCTCCTCCCTGCCCCTGGTATTTCCATGCCACACCTCTGCTATTTTGACTCATCTGGTAGCTGAAAAACTCTGCAAGATCAAAAACAGTCAAAGAGACCAAAAAGGTCAACAAGTTCCCCAGACAAAGCCTACCAGTGTTATGACACCGTAGAGTTTTTCCACTTTCTCTTTGAGTTCCCGGAAACAAGAAGACAACCGGTCATGCAACGGCTTTAGTTGCTCTGTCAGCTTCTCCCCGTGGATGCGGATCCCCTCTGTCAGCAGGGGCATCTGAACAAAAGGGCATGAAAGGAAGGGAATACGGTTTAGGAAGAGGGATACTTCAGATTTGAAGGCTAGGCAAGGATGCGGGTGGAGACAGGCAGGTAAGCTGGCAGACACAGCACGGACCATGTGAGAACGCTACTTCTCTGTGTGGGGCTTGGGCACTGGCCGCCCTTGGGTCAAGGACACAGAGAGACACACAAGGAGACAAGCAGGCCCTTAACTGGGGGAGGGCTGACAGCCCAGACAAACCCACCTGAGCCCGGGGGCATGTCTGTGGCTAAGCCACTGCTAGTTTTAAAACCTTAAGCTGAATCGGATGGCTGCATTTTCTACCACTGTTCACTGAAGTAATGAGAGAGAGAGAGACTGAGGCCAACATGGTTCAGCTGGAAACACAGCTCAGCAAACCAATGTGGGGACTTTAATCTCTTCTCTAGGAAGGTCCCTCTCTGCACTGTACAGTCTAACAGAATGCTATTCCTAGGGTCACTTTGCCAAACAAAGAGGTAGGCTGTGATTCCAAAGGGTAAAAAACAAAACATAACAAAATCCCTTAAAAGCGGGCTTGTGGATTTAAGCCCTAGAGAATATCTTGGGGTTGTGCTCTGAGGCACCCCATGGAGTGCTGCGGAAGGCTGTCTGGCCACACCCCTCCCACGACACATACCTGCAATGCTATCAGTCGTTTTAGCAGCTCAATCTTCTCCTGGTCTTCGGGATGCTCCTGCAAGTACTTTTCTGTAAAAAAAGCCTAAAAGGGGAGCACATGCGAGTATTAATTAGAACACGTTCCTATCTGTGTATTTGACCCGCGAGGGAGGAGAGCCTGAAAGGGTGAAAAATGTGTTCTGTTCTATCTGATAAATCAGGAACAACTAAAGGAACAATTATTCCTTTCCTGGGGCAGCCCTTATGCCATAGTGGACAATTCTAAAGGTATGTGCTATTTTGCAATGTCCACAATAGCCAAACTGTGGAAAGAGCCAAGATGTCCATTGACAGATGAATGGATAAAGAAGATGTAGTATATATACACAATGGAATATTATGCAGCCATCAAAAGGAATGAGATCTTGCCATTTGCAGTGACGTGGATGGAACTGCAGGGCGTTATGCTGAGTGAAATAAGTCAATCAGAGAAAGACGTGTATCATATGACCTCACTGATATGAGGAATTCTTAATCTCAGGAACAAACTGAGGGTTGCTGGAGTGGTCAGGGGTGGGAGGGATGGGGTGGCTGGGTGATAGACATTGGGGAGGGTATGTGCTACGGTGAGCGCTGTGAATTGTGTAAGACTGTTGAATCACAGATCTGTACTTCTGAAACAAATAACGCAACATATTTTAAGAAAAAAGAAAAAGAAGAAGATAGCAGGAGAGGAAGAATGAAGGAGAGTAAGTCAGAGGGGGAGACGAACCAGGAGAGACGATGGACTCTGAAAAACAAACTGAGGGTTCTAGAGGGGAGGGGGGTAGGGGGATGTGTTAGCCTGGTGATGGGTATTAAAGAGGGCACATTCTGCGTGGAGCACTGGGTGTTATGCACAAACAATGAATCATGGAACAGTACACCAAAACAAATTATGTAATATATGGTGATTAACATAACAAAAAAAATTTTAAAAATGTTAAAAAAAAAAGGTATGTGCTATTTTGTGGTTTTTCTGAAATTGTGCAATGCCTAATCAAAGTACCTTCTCAACAACGACCAGACACACACAAGTGCACAGACCAAATATCATCAGTAGAGCAGAATGGCATTCAGTGAAATAACTTTTCCAAAGGACTAAGGCCAATGACAATCCCTAAAGGTTGCTCATTAAAGTGTGCAGTTATTATAAAGGAAAAAGCGAAAAATTAGTAGGCTGGATGTGGACAATAGTTTTCCTGCTCTATCATCTGATATAGGCTCTATCACATTTTTTCCTGTATTAGGTAAAGATTAATATCCACATTTTCTCATTACACATCTATCTAAAAGTCTTTTTGGAGGACAACACGAGATATAGATGTGAAAATGTTTCATAAATAAATTTCTTAAAGATTTATTTATTTGAGAGAGAGAGAGTGTGCATGAGTGGCGGGAGGGGCAGAAGCAGAGGGAGAAGCAGGACCTGGGCTCAGTCCCAGGACCCTGGGATCATGACCTGAGCTGAAGGCAGATGCGTAACGGCTGAGCCACCTAAGCACCCGATTCAATGTATTTGAAGTCCTTATAAAAAGGGGAAGTTTAGACACAGGGAATACACACTGTGAAGAGGCACAAGGAGAACATGGTCATCTCTAAGCCAAGGAATATTTGCCAACCCCTCAGAAACTAGGAGAGAGGCAGGACCAGATTCTTTCTCACGCCCTCAGAGGGAATGAACCCTGCTGATACCTGGATTTCAGAAAACCGGGCTCTCAAACTGTGAGGCAATCTATTTCTATTGTCTTAAGCTACCCTGTGTGTGCCTTTGTTCTGGCGGCCCCAGCAAAGGAACGCAACAAGGGATACAAAGACGTGTGGGTCTGCAGGCCCAGTAGCAAAAACAGGAAGCTGGGCAGCACATCCGGAGAGTGCTCCTTCTAGCCAGATTCATGTTTAGAAAGAAATGAGTGAAAAAGTCATATTGCTTAAAACTTCATCCACCCTCACCTTCCAAATACAAGCAGTTTAAATCTTCAAAAGTTAAAAAAGTTTTTGAGATAAGATAAAATGCACTGAAATTCCCCAAACATTGGTTGAGTCAAGAAATATTGGAGCAGGGTGCTCTGAAATTCACTTTTTTAGGAGAGTCCTGCCTCGCGACAGAAAGGGGCTGATGACTTACAGCAAACAGCTCTTGGGTTCCTATCAGGCAGGCAATGATGAATGGCCTGCTTTAAGACAGGTCGCCTGTATAGGTAAGTGATGATGGATTCCCCAACGGACTGCCATGGGGGTCACTGGTGATCAAGGAGTTTAACTTTCTTACGTTTAGAAATGCACACACTCATACATATTAATTAAAAGTACAAACTAGTATTTTAAGCTAAAGCTCCTGAAATTTATTAGTTTACATACCCTACATTCCCTTTTTAAAAATTTCAATGAGGAGACAATGACATTGGAAAGACCTTCATATGAAATTACATACTATTCACAGATATTGGCATGTACGAATTTGAGTTCAGAGGCATTCTGTAAAAAAACACACACACACACACACACACACACTTGGAAAAACATGAAAGTTAGTACTAGATAGCTTAGCTTATATGAAAAAACACACACCAAAATCATTACAGTATAAAAAAGTATTATATTCTAGATCCTAGTTTTGCCTTGAATTTTGTGATGACGCCAGAGATTATTACTGACACCTGGCATGGGCACGCTAGAAGTGACTTCCAGTGTGGACTCTTTCCCCGCTGCTAAGGGTCATAAGCCTGAAGAAGGCGCAAAGGTTGATGGGAAAGATGGTCACAGCATCAGTCACAGAGCACTGGCCGCCCCACTCAGGAAGGACGTTCTGATCACATTTGGCTCCAAGCGATGGGAGGGAGGGAGAAAACTGACCCTCAGCAAGCCGCAACTGTATGGCAAGTGTTCTGTGATGTTCCCGACACCCAAGATGCCTTCCTAAGCTATGAGCCTCTCCTGTGTGTTAGTTATTTTCCTCATTTTTTTCATATACTAAGCTTGGGGCTCAGAGAGGTGAATTATCTCACCCAAGGGCACAAAGTGGCCAATGGGAAGCCGGTATTAGGTCACAGGCGTGGCTGATTCTAACGCCCCTGGTCTTCTCAGGACTTGGTGTACAAATGGAAATAAGAGAATCGGCCCATCGACTGTCTGCTCGCCCTTCCCGTCTTCCTCCTTTACTTCCCGCTCATTCTCCAGGCTACCCCACAGGGCGGTAGCCAAATGTTTATTTGGATTCAGGAAGAGGACTCCAAAATTACCTAGCCACTGAAAACAGCTGAACAATTAAAAACCCTGTCTTGATTAATTACGTTATGAATTATCTACTGAATACGTTACTTCCATTTTATTTTTATTTTTTAAAAGATTTTATTTATTTGAGAGAGAGAGAGAGAGAGGGAGAGCACAGAGGGAGAGGGAAAAGCTGACTCCCCGCTGAGCAGGGAGCCCGATACGGGACTCAATCCCGGGACCCCGGGATCGCGGCCCGAGCCGAAGGCAGACGCTTCACGGACTGAGCCACCCAGGTGCCCCCATTACCTCTATTTTAAATGGTGCCACATCCAAACCCTATGCAATGGATTCACATCTGGTGAGCACTCTTTTCTTGTTTCTCCAGAATAAAAGATATGACACTTAGTTGAACTAATGTAACTGTGCAGCCAGGGCCAGCGTTTGTCCAAACAACCTACGGCACACCAAGTCGGGGTGGGTGTTTCTAGAAGCTCATTTTAACTAGAGCACAGCTCTGCCTCTCCCACAGATGCTTCTTCACTTCCAGAGCATCCTGAGTTCTGTGTCTCCCACCGGGGAGAGTGGGAGTGGGAGAGGGAACAGGAGGTAGATCAACCAGACGTGGTATATTAGATTGATCTTTCAGTGACTCCTTACCAGGCCGTGGCCTAACCCTGGTGGGGTTGCTGAGGGTCTCTAGGAGGTGTGAGGCCAAGGACATGCTTTTCATTAATTTCACTTGTAAAAGAAGTGAAGAAGGCAGAGTGAAAAATCTCTCAGGGGAGCTGTAAGCAACAAATTCACCGGGGGCACGGTGCCACAGAGAGAGGCATGGGGACACACGGGATTCACCTTTTCGTAGTTGGAGTAGCCCCCCATGACAGCCGGGTCCACGATGCCACTGAGCAACATGGAGAGAGGGTGCACAGAGAGGGCTCGGTCCCAGGCATGCTGCTGGACACAGTTGCTGATCTTCTCATTGGTGAGTTCCATGGTTTCTATGGCATTCTCCAGGGGACTGATTTCCTCCTGTGACAGAGGACCAGGGAGAGGAAGGGCATTTTGTGAGCTCACAGCAAAGACAGAACAAAATATCTGAAGTGTTCCCTTTTAAAAGGTTTAACATTCTCACCAAGCTATAAAAAAGTCAAGGTTATATTTATTTGGATACCACACTTATTTGGAAATGCCTTTGCTAAGGTGCAAAATAAGCGACTTAAAATCTCCTTAGGAAGTCCAGGGGTGACCTAAAAATTAGAGCTATTGCAGTGACTATTTCTTGGTGCAAAGTATCTACAGAAATTTTGGGGAAAAAAAAAATTGGGAGCTGTAATAATTATTGATTTTTAGGCAGAGCTCCCTCAGAGATTTTTGAGAAGCTCAACGACAACAGAGTAATGGGTTATCTGATCCCAGATACTTCTGCAGCACCCAGAATGTTCCTTGGCAAGAGGCTTGATGCTTCTTCCATGAGAAAAGGGAAATGATTTTGGACGCCATGCATTCAGACCATACATAAGTCACCTTAGTAGGGGTTCTGTGGTTAAGTCAGAAATAAGAGGATGTATTAGAATATTCAAGCTAAATTTTGGATGAAAACGAAGTAAGATTTAATACACATTCAGAAGAGCAACTCCTGTGGAAACGTCTTCAAAGCCAGGTTTCAAGAAAGATCGACTTCTTCGTTTTACCCATTGCCAGCCAGCATGACCGCCTACTGCAGCTTCGATGCCAAAAGTCTCTGTCCAAGAATCATATTCATACTTGAAAAATAATAATTTACTACCAGTGGTACGGAACACATCAGATTTCAGTTCAGATCTGTTCAAGATGTATTTCTTGAAGATGTATTACATGCCAAGTACTGTGCTATGTTCCACAGTTACAGAAGTGACTAAGACAGAATTCGTGGCTGGGAGGAGCCTACGGTTTATAAAACGTAGTGGAGTCTCAAGCCATGTAAGCACGGGAGTAACTTGCTAGAAATAAGCCCGGGTTGTGGCAGGGCACAGGGAAAGGGCATCTAACCCCACTTAGGAGTTTCAAAGATGACTTTCAGGCGAAGCCTGGATGGGAGGTAGTTAGGTTGAGAAGTAGCATTTCGGGCAAAGAAAATGGCCCACTGTCATGGAGGGTTGAAATAACATGGAATGAGCAGTTTAGTTCCAGAAGATTCCATAGGAAACGAGGTGGCAGAGCTGAGTCATAAGGACTCTGCATGTGTGTGCTAAGGAACAGGGGCTTTATGCTCTAGGCACTGGGGAGCCACGGCAAGGTTTTAAGCATGAGAAGGATACGGTCAGCTTTCCACTGTGGAACTCACGCTCAGAGGCCATGAGGAAAACAGGCCTGTGAAGGCCAAGGCAGGAGGCCAACAAGGGGGTTTTTTCCGTGGCGTCCACCAGAGATGAACGAGGGACTAAAATGGGGTACAGTAGTAGGAGAGCTAGAAATAAAGAAAACAGATTTCATAAATATTAAAAAGGTAAAAGGGGCAGCTGTGGGGAGGGATAGAGAAGGAAGAGTCTGGGATGACTGGTGATGTGATTAGCCGTGGATGAAAGAAGAGGAAACGTTCCGGGAGAGAATGTGATTGACAGCGAACTCAAAGGAGACATTCCGAAAAAAGTCTGGTGCACTGGCAGGATCATGAGGAGACGAGACTCATTTACTCATAAAAGAGTCATTCACTGTGAGTAACCTTTAGGGTTGGTGTTGTAACATCAGTTGTACAAAGGAGTTCTATTAGACAAGCATGCCTTTTATTTCTCTTTCAGAAAACAAAGTTGGCCAGAGGAGGCTGGCGAAGCTAGTGAGAACTGGAGGAGGGCTTAACAAAGGCTCTTATTATATATCTGGAGACACAAAGAATTTTCTTTGTTCCAATTTCAAATGACTCACCGTTGAAATTTGTTTGACTTCAAACCACTTGAGAATCCCAGGAAAGGTGTACGCAGTTGTATACGTGGTCCTTTCGATCCACATGGTCTGGTGGAAGGAAGGAAAATTGGAAATGTCAGTTCCCAGGCAAGATGGCAACGCTCCCCGGTTGAGGTCAGGGAGAGTCTATTCCCAAATGCTTCCTTGGTGAACGGGCCACCTTTTGAGGGTTCTGGATGTTTAAAACTGCAAGGGATCATCTGCTTGGGCCCTCTCACGTTCTACAGGGGACATGTGAAGTCCAGAGAGGTGGGACTTGCTCAGGTCATATCAGCATCAACACTGGAGTGCAACAGCAGAGCCCAGTCTTGGCGCGGGGGCGGGGGGGTCCAGTCTAGAGTTCTCCACTGAGATGGGCTCGCTGTCTAGGTAGTAAGTGCACAGCACCTCTGTCCTCTTTCCCCACGGCTGCCATCGTTTCTGTGATCTGCTTTGGTTAGGTGGAAAGCCTACTTTACCTTGTTTTAGAGGCAAAGGGGGTAGACTCACAGCAAATTCATTGTCTGGATCCTTCTCTCCTTTCCGGAATGGCCTGGAATATCTGAACTGCTGCACTTCATTGGCTCTATAGTAGCTGGAGAAAGACATGGCCACAATGCTGTAGCTTCTCTCTTAGAACAAGCAGTCCTTGATCAGACTTCAATAAAACCCGGGCCACATCTTGCACAGACCGAGCCTTATCCACTAAGCGACCTCAAAACAGTCTCCACAATGAAGGCTGGAGGTGCACGATTTGATTTTATTGCACATCTTTATCTTATTTATGAATCCATTCCACAGCTCACCATTTAAAAAGGTATATGTATTTATATCCATGTTTGTTATTTCATTTGTGTATTTTTATCACAATCCTATCAATCCTACTAGCATTTTAGCTTCTCAGAAAAAAGAATGAGGCTTTCGATCACTGGGGACCCCACCAGGCAAGGTGAGGTCAGCCATTCCTCAGTGAGTGCTTGTGAGTGGAAATAAGATCCAGGAGATCTGAAACCTAACAGTGAAATTCCTGATTTCCCCGTCTGTCTAAAAAAAACCCCAAGGCCCCCAAATCCCTTTTGAATTACCAAGCTCTTTATACTGAAAATACAATAAAGAGTTGCTGTGGTCTGAATGCCAAAATTCATGTGTGGAAATCCTGTCCCCCATTGTGATGGGACTAAGAAGCAGTCTGTGGCAGGTACATAGGTCATGAGGGTAGAGCCCCCATGAATGGGATGAGTGCCCTTATAAAAGAGACCGCAGAGCACTCAATCACCCTTTCTGCCATGTGAGGACACAGAGAGAAGTCAGTGTCTGTGAATCAGGAGGCAGGTCCTCACCAGACACCAAATCTGTTGGCGCCTGACCTTGGACTTTCCAGCCTCCAGAACTGTGAGAAATAAATGTGTTGTTTATAAGCCACCGAGTCCGTGGGATCCTGTTACTGCAGCCCCAGAGGGGTTAAGACAAAGGGTAAGGTCTTCCAAATGAGTTTAAGACTTTGGTTTTAAATATTTTATCTATCTACCTATCTATCCATTCATTCATTCATTTAGAGAGTGTGTGTGCGTGCATGTGAGAGCATGAGTGGGGGGAGGGGCAGAGGGAGAGAGAGATCAGGCAGATTCCACTCGTGGGGCTCGAACTCATGACCCTGAGATCATGACCTGAGCCAAAATAAAGAGTCGGATGCTTCACTGACTGAGCCACCCAAGCGCTTGGGTTTTGATGTACTTCTAGAGAAAATGTGTTAGAAAATGTTTTTTAAAAGAAGCAAAAAACCCCCACTTACTTTAAGATCTGCTCTGGAACTGGTTTGTCCTTGTAGCTGGGTGGCAGGCTCATCACCGGCTTTACGGTGAAACACTGCATGTCTGAGGAGCTCGTTAAGGAAGGACAAGGGGCTGGGCTGTGAAGCTGTTTCAGGCAGAACGTACCACCTATTCCTCCTGCTTTGCAGATGGAAATGGTACCTGCCTGACGTACTCCTTTTTCCTGACTGCCAGGACTGCATTCAAAACAGGGTTCCCTGAGGTGTCACCCAAACGCCTTATTAAGTAATAATCTTAGGACATTTTGGTCAGACACCTGGCAAGCAACCCTGCCATAGGAAAATAGGCATCAATGAACTATCAGGTGAAGAGGGATTTGAATCAGTTTTAAATCATTTCTTTTGGACACGCATGCCTCTGAAACAGCCGGACTCCAGAGCCTGCGCAGTAGGAACGTCTGGTATCTGTGGCTATCACTTGTTGATGGACGGCCATAGCTGGGCACTGAACGAGGTTCTCAATATGTTCTCGCCAATAATAAACACAGCAACCAACAGGCAGATGTTACGAATCTCCTACAGATGAGGAATCTGAGGCTCTGAGAAAACCCAGAGTGCATAACTGGTACATAAGGAAGTCAGGCTTTTAGTCCAGCTCAGGGGGAGACCTGTCTCTCTGACTTGATAATTTAAATAATGACTTTTTTTGTCCTTGCCAGTACAGATATACTGTTTCAAAATCGACAGCATTTAAAGTCGAGGTGAAGACCCTGGGTCAGGACAGAACAGTGACTCCCAGCATCTCTGGGTGGTGTGCAGCCCTGGGGAACCAGAACCACACGATGCTTACTCAGGACGCACAATGAGAATTCGCAGCCGCCGAATTACAATCTCTCCACGGTGAGTCTCTGGTATAACAAAATCTGAGGACCACTGGGCTGTGCCTTACCCTGGTCTAGTTGACAGAGCATCTTCAAAGAAATGACCTCCTTTTTATTTTGATCCTTCCAGAAGTGTTATTGGGTATTTAGGGAAAACAGACTGACACCTCATGGGTGAGAAACCAAGGCCTGGAGGAAGGAAGCCGTTTTGGAAAGGTCAAGGGGCTAGGCAAAAAGGACTGAGGGCCCAGCCAAAGGAAATCCTACATCCAGTTCTTGAAGACCTCTTGTCATTCCCACACCACGAAGGCACCTTCGTTGTCTCCTGAACCCACATAACCCAAACAAGGATTTATCCCGGAAGACTATTCTTTTCCAAGCATCTGCTACGTATTAACAGGCTGCCGTTCTCTTAAGGTGTGCCTGTCTATTCGTCTGTTATTATTATTGTCAGTCTTTCTTATCATCTACTTACAACCTACTTACCAACCTGTATGTATAATAATGGCCAATATATATTGAATTTTTACTACGTACCAGGCACTGTTCCTAACATTTGACAGGTATTTAGTCAATCTTTACAAGAACTCCGTGAGAAAGGATAAACATCATCCCCATTTTATAGATGGGAAAACCAAGACACAGAGAAATTAAGGAACTTCTCTACAGCCAGTCTATGTCCTCCTCAAGCTCCCCATATGGCTATAAAACATATCCTTTCATATTCAAGATTTCCTTATCTCCACTCTCCTTTACTTCATAACTATGTGCTAAGGACGTTAGGGTCCCAAAGCTTTTTACACAGAATGGGAAACTGAGTCAGAACCGTTAACATGAGTGGTCAGAGGGCAGGACATATCCACGTGCAGAGACGGGACTGAACCCTTAGCTTCTGTGGCTGGGCCGGGCCATGTCTCCCCGAGGTGAGGATACACTGCTTTGGGGACGACTTGATGTCCTCTCCCGGGGGCGTGGTGCTGGTCATCTTCTCGGCATTGGGGAACTGGGTCAGCAACCTCAGGCTGAAGTCTTCTCGCCTCTCATACTCCTTCCCCCGGTAGATGAAGATTTTGTTCTGCAGGTCAGAGACAGCAAGGGGAGTGATTACATATGAAGAGTGAAGGGGCAACTGGAGATCTTGGTGCTGAGGAAACCACAGCCCTCCCTGGCCGAAGTGCATTCCACCAGCAAGTTCTCACTAAACACCTACTACGTGCCCCGCAGCAACCATCATATCTGGCAAGAGCTCATGGTTTATTGGGGGAGATAAGTCATTGGCATAAAGCTGCCTCAGCAGTGCTTCTCAGAGTGCGGCCCCATGACCACCACCAGTCTGCAAATGGTCCGCACTGACCCACAGGGAGATGAGCTTGTGCCCTAAAGTAGATCCGCGATGTCACCAGGCACACTGTTGAAATTTACCTGATTTTCATGGCAAGACATTCTCAACAAAGGAAGGAAGTGCATGAATTTGCTTCACATGCAAGCCTTTGTTTTATCATGATCCAGTTGTGGACCAGCACTTGGAGTGGCGCTGACTTACAGAACAGAAAAGTATGAAGAGAGCCCACGCAACAAATCTCCATTAACAGAGAACAGGAATAACATACAGCAGTCCGTCTGCAATCCTGAAAATCACTGTGGACGGCGATGTCAAAGGCTCACAGACTATAACTCCACTAAGTCCTATTCTCTCCTTTCTAATCTACATTCTTTTTCTGTTTAATAAAATTAATAAAATTGGATTTTTTTAGAAAGAAATTTCCTAGGCTCCAGACATAGGAGTAATTTGACTCATAACTGCTGTTGCCCACGCAAGTTCAAATGGAGCCATGTTTCAAAGGTTCTTGCTCATCTGATGATTGCTCAGATGAGTACTTAGCATTGGCAGCCCATACCTGATCCATTTTTTAACTAAACCTTGGGCCCCTATTGTCCTGGAAAATGTTCTTAAAAATCACCTGCCCATTCATCTAGCAAATAGGTATTGGACAAACAGGAGATATGCTAAGACACTAGGGATATAATGATGACCCTACTCTCACAAAACTTACCTTCTGGTGGGCAGAAACAGAAAACAAGTAAGTATGATAGTTTATATAAGTAACAGGATGGCAATACACCTTCTAGGAGAAACACTGATGGCAGGAACAAATGCCAGGTCTTTTGGAATAGACGATGAAGTTTTCCAAGCTGGGAAAGATTTACATGACTAATCCATGCTTTATGAAATTCCATCATGCAGGCAAAGCTGTGGTAGCTAAGGAAGCAGAGTGTACGGCAGCACTAATCATAGGATGTGGACAACAATGTGAATGGAGGCAGACAAGCACAAGGTCAGCACACACGAGCACGGAGTGAAAGAGGGGCTTCGAGGAGATCGTGGCATTGCCTGGGCCCAGATGCACGGACACAGTAAGGAGAGGAAAAGAGAAGGGGAGGACAACCAGCAGGAAGAGTGAAAGGAAGGACAGGGCCACGAGGCAGAAAGTATGGAACTGAAGTAGAAGAAAATAAGCTTGGATGAGTCAGAGCATTGAAAGGCAGGCACCAGTTCCTAAGGCCTGGGGAATTCCCTGGAGGTTCTAGGAGGGAGCGACATGACGGAGGCAGTGCATAGACAACCTCAGTGGACAGCGGGGTGTGCATCTAACTGCAGGACCCCCAGGCAGGACTGAGTGGGAGAAGGAGAAGCTACGGGATCTGGCGTGTGACCCTGGTATCTGGTGAAGGGCAAAGATGGGGAGAATCACCGAGGATTCTGAGCTTGCTGGGCCCAGAGCCGGAAGCTCAGTGGGGCCCCTGACAGAAGCAGGGAAGAAGGAGGCCTGGCTGGGGCTGGGGCAGGGGCAGGGGTGGGGGGAGAGGACAACACGATTTTAGATATTCTGAGTTTGGGGAAATGGTCCATACCACAGAAGGGCCTGGAGGTTACACCATGCAGAGGCTTTTATATTTTTCAGCACTCTCTGGAAACACCTGACATCTGCAAACCACTTTACAGTTTATAAAGCCCTCCTGTATGCTATTTACTTAATTCTGAAGCAGCCCTGTGACGTGGGCAGTACTTCTCTAACTTACACATCAGAAAACTTGGAGGTTACATGATTTGGTCGAAATCATACAGTCACCCAGCAGATGATGGAGACCCCCCTTTTTCAACTTGAAGGTCTAACCTTTGCCCTGAACCAGTGCTGTCTCCAGCTCATGCCCCCAGATGCATGTGACCCAGCAGTCTCTCTCTCTCACACACACACACACACACACACACACACACACGCACGCACGGCAGGCATCCCTGCCTTATCGGGACTGGAGCACCAAGACTGACCACCAATCTCGGTCTAGAACCTACTGCAGGGCGCCTTCCCAGACCCTCTCCTTCTGGTGCTCTGTTCTCTCTCCCTGCGCTATCTCCTCCACACTCGAATAACCCACCAACTTTATCCCTAGTCTGGAACTTTCCTTTGAGTTCTGGGTCCAGGTATCAGATTATTGACTTACATCTGTTGGATGTTCCACGTTACCTCACACTGAGTATGGCCCCAACCAGACTTTCACAAAGAACGTATAAAGATCTGAAAGGCCATCTGCGATCTGGGACCCCAAGCCACCTGCCCCCTCTTCTCCACTTGCCCTCCTGTTCACACTCCTCCAGCCTCACGGCTTTTGAACCCGCTGTTCTCACTTCCTGGCCCCCCATCTCATCTTTTGATGGCCACCTGGCTTATTCCCCCACTTCTTTCAGGTCCTTGCTCAAATGTCATTTTCTTACTGACATCCTTCCCATTCACTCTATTTAAAATTACAACTCCAACCCCATCTTTCTTCCCCCGCCCCAACATTTTCTCCATGATACGTACGGAGTGTCTACACGGGGTGAGGCATTGTTCTAGGCTATTGGACATACTAAGTGTGTTTACTTTTTGTGTGTCTCCAAGCTAGAATATACGTTCCATAATTTCAAGGATTTGGGTTGTTTTGGACTGTGCCTCCATGCCTATAATATAAGCGGCTTATCTGTACACATCCAACCATTGTCCGTACCAGCCAGATGATGACCTTGCAAACACACAGAGTCCGCCATGGTTCCCTCCTGCTCTTGGGGTGCTGACAACACAGCCAGGGCAGCCCCACGGCCCTGCCCTGCGTGTTCTCCCCACGCTTCAGGCCTCAACTCCCCGCTCGCCCCATACCCTCCCTTCCTGGGTACTGCCATGTGCTTGCTTGCCACTTTCTCTGCCTGCAATGCTTTTCTCCTACCACCTTTATCTCCAAAATTCCAAGCTCGCCTCTAAATTGCAGCCAAAGCAGAAATTCCCCAGGGAAGTCTTTCCTGACTCTTAAAAAAAAAAAAAAAATTCAGGCATAAATTACATATAGTAAAATCTACCCTCTTTAGTGTAAAATTCTGTTGAGTTTTGACAAACATAACCATGATCACAATCAAAATACAGAACAGTTTCATCACCATCCAAAATTTCTCCATGCCTCTGAAGCCCAAACCTCCCCTTCAATGACGAGACAACAACTCATCTGCTTTCTACCCCTTATCGTAAGTGTCGGCTTGGCCAGATGCCGTGTACATAAAATCACAGAGCATGCAGACTTTGTGGTCTCAGTTCTTTTACTTAGTACAATGCATCCGAGACTCAGCCACACGCTTGTGTGTATCAGGAGTTTATTCCTATTTATTATTGAGTACTGTTCCATTGTATGGCTATCCCACAGTTTGTTTACCCCTTCGCCAATTGAGGGACATGTGAGTTGTATCCAGTTGTTGGCGATTATAAATAATAAACAATCATGTGATACCCGTCTTGGTCAGTTTCAATTTCCATTCTTTTGCATGATTATTAATGTTACACCCGTGAGGCTGTGAATTCCATGACAGTAAGGCCCATATCTGATTCGATTCTGCCCCGTGTGTTCCTCGCATACAGCATGCACTCAGTAAACAGTTACTGAATGAATGGGTTACCTCCTCATTGGGCACTATGAGGAACGTAAAGTCCTTCCTTTCTCACTTTTTCTTAAATCCGGGAAGGAAAATGAGTCGTATGTTTAAACACAGCCGGCTCTAAAAAGGCTTCCTTTTTTTGTGGGGGGGGGAGAAGAATAAGATTTTGTTTGTTTTTTAGATTTTAAAATCAGTATCACGTTACAGAAAATTTTGAGAAGGAAGAAAAACATGGTCCTTCTCACGATTACAACACCTGTTTTTATTTTTGTGAAACTTTTGCAGTCTTGTCCTCGGGATATTTGCTTTCCAACCGGCTCTGGCTGGAAATAAAACAAACAGCTAAATACATCAATCCACACTTTTCCCCAGCCTGACCTGTAGCAGCTGAGCAGCGGAGGCGATGGTTCTGTTTTTCCCTTTTTCATTCCACCTGGGAGAAGTCATTCTACAAAGGAGCTGCCAGAATACCCGAGCTGGGGGTGTGCGGTGAAGTGGCCGGCCACGCAGGAAGTGGTCCCCCCCCCCCCCACCAACCGCCGACCTCCCACAGCGCGAACTCGGGCCTCCAGCTGTTCACACCCTAGGCCCATCTGGAGAAGAGACGAAGACCTCCCCTCCTTCAGACTGCACGGCTTAATGGCTCCGAGGACCACCCTGAGGTTTCTCACCCGGAGGAAAGAAGGAAAGCCCTGACCGTAGTATCCAACGGCAAAGTATTCAGGCTGAGGCCTCATTGCTTTAATGATGTTCTCATAGAACGAGGCTCTTTTTTTCTGGAAAACAAAATAAGACATTCCACAGGGAGGTTACAAGGGCACCACTGAGGGGTGGGGAAGATCAGACTATTTGCTTTGTTGTTTCCCATGGGCCAACAGGCAAATGGAAAGCCTTTGGAAAATACCCTGCAGGCCCAAGAAGTTATCCCTTTCTTGGAGCGAATGGTTTGGACCTGGGTCCCTGAAGGAGCCTTGGAGGGTCTGGCAATCTCTGGAGTTGCCTGCGGGAAGATGCACGTGTGTGTGCGTTCCTCTGTGGAGGGAGGCAGTGTTTAGCTCTCACCAGTTTCCTGAAGAGGGTTCAAAGACCCTTAAAAGGTTAAAAGCCCTTTCTGAGATTCACAGAGGGTGGTTGCACATGAGAAAAGATGATAAAGAACTTTCTGGTTCACGCAGGTGGTTTGGATTAACGTCGTTGGTTCAGTTACAAGTGCCCAGAAGGTGGTGGTGATGTTCTGTTTTTCAGTGTCTGACCCCAGCCCTAGCTTTAATCCTTCCCATGGGAACAGGTTTCCCAGCCAGGGCTAAGAGTAAGCCTTAAAGAAAGCAAAATAGGTAGCCAGACCTGGGGTCTTCAGGGCATGTCCCTAGGCCCCTCTCACAATGGTCCCATGACTGTATTACTTTATTTAGGTGAAGGTTTCTAGCACATTTTCTTAGTAGGGTAATGTGTTATATCACTAACCGCTCCATTTAGTTTATGAAATTAAGAAGTGATTTTGTGTGTGTGATAGCAGGGGCTGGTACAACACACCGGCAAGTTCTTTTCTCAAAGTGATCTTGACAACTACCCCCTCAAAGAAGCTACATTTGACCCTTGAACAACATGTGTTTAAAATGGATGAATCCACTTACATGCAGACAGTTTTGATAAATACAGTATAGTACTGGGAGTATTTTCTCTTCCTTTCAATTTTCTTAACATTTTTCTCTAGCTTACTTTATTATAAGAACACAGTATATAACACATATACAAAATATGTGTTGATCAACTGTTTATGTTATCAGTGAGGCTTCTAGTCAACAATAGCCAACAATAGCCTATAAATAGTTAAGTTTTGGGGGAGTCAAAAACTATATGCGGATTTTCACTGGTGGAAGGGGGGGTTGGCGCCCCTAAGCTCCCCACCCTGCACTGTTCAAGGGTCAACTGTATTATTACGTGACAACGGGTGACCTGACCTTTTGTGATTCCACTACTAAAAATTATCAAATGTAGTGGTGTGTTGGCCTACCACTGGGCATTCAGAGGGTGATTTTTGTTTTGCTATATTGTTTTTAAAGAGTTGACCTGTGCCAATGGCCAGGCATAACACACAAGTTCATAGAACTGTGAAAGTACAGCACCCCAGTGACATTTTGGGAGGAGAGAGGCAAAATTTGAGACTCAAGATCCAGAAGAAGCATTTAACAACTTACTAAAATGTGCACAAGGAAAAAAAAAAAACAAAACAAGGCTCAAAGATTAGCAGTTCATTCATTCAGCAGGACCCTGAGGATGTGGACCACAGAACAAGTAATTTTGATGAACAGAAGATGTCAGAAAATATTTGAAATACGGACAGTGTTCACAGAAGGCATCACAGAAGGCAGAGTAACTGAGAGGGTAAAGAGGAGATGGGTCAGGAATACAGAGGGTCCCTATGCTAGGGAAACAGAATGCACAGAGAAGGGAGAAGGGTCTGTAGGCAAGGATCCTGAGCCTTTTATCAAAGATAATCTGGAGGAATAATGATAACAGCTTTTGGACCTCATCTTTTTTTCATTTTTCTTTCAAGCAAGGTTTGCTTTGCCACTGTTAAGAACACCGTTTATCTTGACTTCCTCAAATGTACAAAAACATTTTCATGAGCACAAATCTTAGCACCTCTGTTGGACATTTGACATATTCTGACCCGGACTCACCAGCAGGTTGCCGAGGCCCTCGTAGTCAAATACTTTGCTCTCATAAGTCTCAGCCAACTCTTTGCTCAGTTTGATGGCCTTCTCCCACATCTTCAGAAAAAGAAAAGTAGGGTTACAAGCGGAGAACAAATCAGTCACTGATCTGTCTGGGAAAGCCATGCTGACAGTTAACTAAGGAGTCAGGTGGGTTGAGTTTCTGCAGATATTCTCACCACGCCTCACCTCTTGGATCAACTAAACCTTTTCTTCTGACATGATAAAGCTACTATAGCTTGCTGCTTTGCCAGGGGGCATGTTCTGTAATTCTGTTTGCGAGAACATGAAGAACACCATGTGTCCCAAACAAAGCAATACTGTATTGAAAGGGCAAAGCACAAAGACCATTGAGAGCTGAGAGGAACCAGTTCTAAAGCCTGGGTTTTGAGATCATTGAAGTCTTGTTGGAGGGGAAAGGAAGTTAGTGTGGGCCCTAGTTCTGGTTCTGGGGTATGTGTGCATTTGTGTGTGTGTGCGCACGTGTGTGTGCATGTGCATGCGCTTTCAATTATTAGGTTGTTTGGGACGAGGGGAAAACGGAAGAAAGGCTAACCATTCTGTTGTGTGGAATCTGGGAAACTGTTTCTCCAGTTTTGAGAACTGATTCTCTATTTCTGACCAAACTATCTACTTAGTCAAAGAGAATTTTAAGAAAAATTCCTTAAAGCACTGATGACCGTGGAAGTTGCAGCCTCCTGCACATATTTGGTATCTGAGGCTAGCATCCCAGATTGAAGCCTCTGTTCACTTTGGTATTTCACAAAATGTCTTTTAGATAGATGCTCTTAATAACACAGCACCTGGTAATTTCCTACTTGATTCTTATTAACCAGGTGCTATGTTCCATTGTGTCTAGCTGCTGAAAGAATGTATGAGCAGTTCATGCAGTTGTAAAACATTTAAAAAATTTCAGTCTTTTAAAATCATCATTTGCCAGATTTGCCCCCTCTGAAATTTCAGGGCCAGGATCCCTGGAAAGGGCTCTGAAACGTGCCATATGGAAACCGTTCCAGATCAGCTGGGCCTGGAGCAGGAAGCCGGTTAACAGTATCCAAGAAGTCAAGCTCTCTCCTCATTTCACCAAATACTAAGTTAGTTATGTCAGAAACAGGAAGACAGCCTGGCACAGAGCTTCTCAAAGTGTGGTCCCTGGTCTCTGGGAGTCCCCAAGATCCTCACACAGGGTCCGTAAGGTCACAATTATCTTCTTAGTAATAATCATACTACTTGCCTTTCTCAGTCCTCATGCTCTGATACAGTGGGGTTTCTCACAGGCTACTAAACGTGTAATACCACAGGAGACTGAATTCAGAAGCAAATAGGAGGATCCCGCTATCTCCCAGATGCTAAAGAGATTTGCGAACATGTCAAACAATGCCACTCGAATCGCTAATTTTTTGGAAAACATAGTAATTTTTAATAAATATGATTTATATATAATAGTAAAAAGTTTGTTCAGAGAACAAGTAAGTAAATGTTTTAAGATTCTCTGTTTTAATTTCTAAGTATACTCTTAGTATCAGTAGATATAATCCATGTGACAAAAAGCTCTTTGGGATCCTCAGTGATTTCTGAGAGGGTCAAGCGGCACAGAGACCAAAGACTTTGAGCAAGTTTTTCATCTGTAAAAGAGATGTAATATCTACCTCATAGGGCTTTAGGGACAATTAAATTAGGAAAAAAAGTCTGGAAATAAGCCAAAACAGTAACTAGCACTAAATAGATTGTAGCTATTTTATTACGATGATTATTTTATTATGATGATTTTTTAAATTTTTTTTTGTTTCAAGTTTTTATTTAAATTCCAGTTAGTTAACATATAGTGTAATATTAGTTTCAGGAGTAGAATTGAGTGATTCATGACTTACATACAGCAACCGGTGCTCATCACAAGTGCCCTCCTTAATGCCCATCCCCCATCTAGCCCATCCCCCACCCACCTCCCTCCAGCAACCCTGTTTGTTCTCTATAGTTAAGAGTCTGTTTTATGTTTGCCTCTTTTTTCCTATGTTCATCTGTTTTGTTTCTTAAATTCCACATATGAGCGAATGTCTTTGTCTTTCTCTGACTTATTTTGCTTATTAGCATAATACACTCTAGCTCCATCCATGTCACTGCAAATGGCAAGCTTTCATTCTTTTTTATGGCTGAGTAATATTCCATTGTATATATACACCACATCTTCTTTATGCATTTATCAGCTGTTGGAATTTGGGCTCTTTCCATAATTTGGCTATTGTTGATAGTGCTGCTGTAAACATCGGGGTGCATGTGTCCCTTCAAATGAGCATTTTTGTATCCTTTGGGTAAATACCTAGTAGTGCAGTTGTTGGGTCGTGGGGTAGCTCTATTTTTAACTTTTTGAGGAACCTCCATACTGTTCTCCAGAGTGCCTGCACCAGTTTGCATTCTCACCAACAGTGTAAGAGGGTTCCCCTTTCTCCACATCCTCACCAACATCTGCTGTTTCCTGTGTTGTTGATTTTAGTCATTCTGACAGGTGTGAGGTGGTATCTCATTGTGGTTTTAATTTGTATTTCCCTGATGATGAGTGATGTTGAGTATCTCTCTGCATGTGTCTGTTAGCCATTTGGATGGCTTCTTTGGAAAAATGTCCATTCATGTCTTCTGCCCATTTCTTTAACTGGGTTATTTGTTTTTTGGGTGTTGAGCTTGATTAAGTTCTTTATAGATTTTGGATACCAACCCTTTATCAGATACATCATTTGCAAATATCCTTTCCCATTCCAAAGGCTGTCTTGGCTTATTTATTTAACCAACAGGTTCCACTGCTAAACCAGGAATAGTGGCTGCAAGTGGCAGTCCATAAGAACTCTCCGGACCTCTGAAGTGAGTCAAATCTAGGATCTGTTTTGTTTGGATAGCACATGGTTTTCATCTTCCTCCCCCTACCCCTTCCACCTTTTTCCCCCATTTTAAAAGTCTTTCAGCTAGACACGCTTTGTCCAGTTGACAGGAGACTCCACAACTTCCTGCCTAGTTCACATGTTTATTTTGCCTTTTTGAGAGCCCCTGGGGCAATTAATTAGGTTGCTTCTTACCTACAGTGTTAGGCGAGTAGTGGCCTGGGCATGGGATGTGCAGCTGGGGCTGGCCAACAATCTCTAGGGAATGCACTGAAAATGATGGTACTAGCTCCTGGCACTCACAAGATTTAAAAGGTGAAATTATGGGGCGCCTGGGTGGCTCAGTTGGTTGAGCGACTGCCTTCGGCTCAGGTCATGATCCTGGAGTCCCGGGATCGAGTCCCACATCGGGCTCCCTGCTCAGCGGGGAGTCTGCTTCTCCCTCTGACCCTCTTCCCTCTCGTGCTCCCTGTCTCTCATTCTCTCTCTCTCAAATAAATAAAATCTTAAAAAAATAAAATAAAATAAAAGGTGAAATTATGGTTATGGAGAGTGGGGCCCCGGGCTGCCCATTATATTCTCCATTGGGTTAAGTGTCCTCAACATAACTGATCTTTAGTGACTTCTTTAGCCTAATTTATCTATTCATTTGCTCTCCAACTAAAAGTACCAGAATTCAAAGAAACACATGGGAATAATAAAGAGTAAGTCATGAGTCATTGTTTGAAAATAAAGGATTTATCTGGTCTTTGTCCTGAGTTCCTGGGAGGGAGCTTCTAAACCCCTGGAATTTCTCCAATGATGGGAGTGTCTGTGTTGTTTCTGATGGGCCCCTCAGACCACACCAGAGTTTATACTAATGAGGGGACTCACAGTGGGCCTCTAGGTGGTCTCAGAACAGGGCTGGCCTTGCCAGAACTGCAGCCCACGGGATTAGAAGATCGGGGCCTTGAGCAACATGGTATCAGCCGGACCTCCAGGGAGGAGAGGGTTGCTAGAGACTGAGTTCACTCAGGCGGCCAAAGATTCAACCAACGAAGCCTTCAAATGAAACCGCAACAAAAACTATGCACAGAGGCTCCAGTAAAATCTTAATGGTGAACATATCAATTTGCTGGGAGGGTGATGTGCCCTGAATCCACCCCTGGGGAGAGGACACAGAAGCTCTGCATTTGGTATGCTCCTAGACCTTGCCTTATGTGTTTCTTCAGTTGCCTGGTCCTGATTTGTGTCCTTTAAGATAAAACTGTAATTGTAAGCACAGCACTTTACCAAGTTTTGTTAGTTGTTCCAGCATATTACCAAATCTGAGGGATTCATAGGACGCCCTCCCCCAATTTATCATCAGTTGGTGATATGGGTGGGTGGCCCAGAGATCCCTGAACCAGGGCTGGTGTCTGAAGTGAGGGCTGTCTTACTGGGGACTATTTCCCTAACCTGAGGGAACTGTGCTAACTGTGGGGAGTTAGCATCAGAACTGCACTGCAGGGGCACCTGGGTGGCTCAGTTGGTTAAGCGGCTGCCTTTGACTCAGGTCATGATCCTGGGGTCCTGGGATTGAGCCTCACATCCAGCTCCCTGCTCAGCGGAGAGCCTCTTTTTCCCTCTCCCTCTGCCTGCCACTCTGCCTACTTGTGCTCTCTATCTCTCTGTCAAATAAATAAATAAAATAAAATAAAATAAAATAAAAAAAAAGAACTGCACTGCAACATTGCAGTCAGTTTCTTCCTTTCCCTAATACGGAAACAGATAGCCCAATACTCACTTTGCCTTTGTCAAAGTATGATATGATTTCTTGGTACAGCTTCTCTTTAAGCTCTTGCTGGGTATAGACATAGTAACTGTCCCTCTGAAGCAAATGGGGTACACAGGGCTTATCAGACCACTGAAAAACAAACAAAAGGAACAAAAGAGATTAACACAACATATTGATTAATTAAATTCATTAACCAAAGGAAATCCATGTAAAAAGTATTTAGCCAATCAAAGTCATGGACATATTTGTATATATTTTTGATTCGGCCATATTATTTATATTATTTATTAAACACAAAAACTTCCCCCCCTCACAAGACATATGCCAGCTTCAAAACAAGTGTCACACCAAATGGGCAACCATGTGAGGCATTCCTGTGAATAGTCAGGAAGGGGGCAGAGAGTGCTGGCCAGCACAACTGCTGGTCACTGAAGGTATCATTCAGACAACAGGATGAAAGAAAAACTTTGAAGTATAAAAATGGGAAGGAAGGGGTAAAACTATGACCGTGTACAAAGACCGTATTCTTCGTAATCCATCCCTTCACAAAGCGTGCCAACTGAACGACTATCACGGATAATGAGAGAATTAAGCAGCGGCAAAAAAATTAACAAATTCAGAAATAATTTAGAGACGGATTTCCCAGGAATAGATAACCATGCTGAAGAGAGAAGACCCCAACAGGAATAAACCCCAAATGAGAAGATATCCAGGCACAACAACGTGAATGTACTTAAGGCCACTGAACGGTCCACTTAAAAATGGTTAAAACAGTAAAAGTTATGTTCTGTGTATTTTACCATAATTAAATTAAAAAGAAAAGGCATAACAAGGAATATGTAAGACTTTTTTTTTTAAAGATTTTATTTTTATTTATTTATTAGAGAGCGAGCGAGAGAGAGAGAAACAGCATGAGAGGGGAGAGGGTCAGAAGGAGAAGCAGACTCCCCACTGAGCTGGGAGCCTGATGCGGGGCTCGATCCCAGGACTCCGGGATCATGACCTGAGCCGAAGGCAGTCGCTTAACCAACTGAGCCACCCAGGCGCCCTGGAATATGTAAGACTTCTATACAAAAAGTTTAATACACCCTTGAAGGGCACGAAAGCAGACCTGAACAAATGGAAAGTCCTATTATGTTTCTGGGTAAGAAAATGCTGCTCCATAAACATGGAAATTCTCCCTGTATCAATGTTTCAATTTCATGATTCCAAAGTGCATATGGAAAAATAAACAAAAAGGAACAGGGCAGAAAACTCTGAAAAAAGAACAGCAATGAAGAGTAACTACCAGGTAGTAAAAACGTACCATAAAACAGTGTGGTCCTGGTGCGTGAACAGACAGAGTGTTCATTCAGACCATGCAAAAGTATATGCAATCTGGCAAGAGACTTGCCTTGTGTAGCAATTTACTACATGATAAAGATGGAATATCATCCCAAGGAGGAAAATACGGACTATACTTAATAAACGGCAGCCCTAAATTCAGTAGCTAGCTGGGGGCAGCGGGGGGGGGGGGGGGGGAGTTGCATCCACACCTCATACTTTATACCAGCGTAGAGAGTTAAACTTTCTGAGCAGCACAGATGAAAAGACCTACCGTCACTGAGACACCGGAGTCTCTGTGATCATTCCACGGTCAACAAGCCCTCCCACCATCCCATATACAATAAGCCTGTCAGTGCACTGAACTTGAATATGAATTGTGAATGGCTGCCTTGGGAAGTGGTGAGGCAGAGGACTCCTGTTTTCAATGACAAAGCTAAGAACGATGCACATGTGTTATTTTAGTATAAAAATTAAATTATACCAGAAAATGAATTGCTAGGGGCAAGAATGGAGACAGGGAGATGTAACAGGGGGCTACCGTCGTGCTCTAGGGGAGAGACAATGGGCCAGGGCACAGCAGTGAAGGTAAAGAGAAGTGGATAGAAAGGAGATACAATCAGGATGCCTACGAGATGCCTGCACTCCCGTGCTCACTGCAGCTGAGACACGGAAACAACCTAAGCATCCAACGATGGATAAAGAAGATGTGGGATAAATATGCAATAGATGTCATTCAGCCACGGGAATGAAGGAAATCCTGCCATTCCGGGCAACCCAGATGGACCTTGGGGGTGTTACAAGCGAAACAAGCCAGACAGAGAAAGACAAATACTATACGATAGCTCTTCCACATGGACTCTAAGAAAAGCCAAACACATGAAAACAGAGGGCACAGTGGTGGTTACTGGGATTCGGGGGAGATGTTACTGAAGGATGAAGTAGAGCCAGAGCATAAATAAATCTTGGACTCTAATGCATGATGATTACAGACAACAATACTGTATCACAAACTTCACATTTTCTCGGAGACTAGATCTTAATCGTTCCCACCCTGAAAAAAAAATAAAGGTAAGTATGTGCCTTGAGAGAGTTGTTCATGGATGCTACAGGTCTGCGATTCTAGCTCGGCCCCGAAGTAGGAGGGTGAATAAAAGATGACAACAGGTATTTGCCTGAGCGCCTGGGTAGATGGAGGTGACCTTTAGTAAAATGTGAAGAAAGAAGAGGGTAGGAATGGATCCAAGAACACCGTGGGGAATGACAGCTTCTGTTACTGCCGTGAGAAGTGTGAGCTGTCTATTAGCCGCTCACGGATTGTGATATGGAAAGAACAGTTCATACGTGAATGCAAAATCAGAGGACTGGTCAGAGCTAGAAAGCAACATTCTGGATCCATGACATATAGGTGTATTTATATCCATGGCACACTACTTGGACTTTGTAAGAGAGTATAAGTAGGAAAGACTGCTATACTCATTTACAACTCGTTTCTTGGCAGTTCTACAATGTTTTTTTACATACATTAATCAACGTGTATTTTGTGTTTTCAATCAGACTGTCAATTACTGGAGGCCCGTAAGGCTGTGCTCTGCTTCCAGAGGATTTTTAAATAAATGATAACTGACATTTTCCCAATCTTGGTCAGAAAATTAGCTGTGCTTGTTTAGAAGGCATACGAGCGCTCTTGGATAAAAGGATCTCTCCTGAATAAGGCTCCTTCCCATCCAAAATCATGAAGCGTGCAGGATTTCGTCCCAAAGGGCTTGGACAGTTGACTTCCCTCCAATGGAAAAAGGCATCCCTGATGCACTTACCTGCAGCAGCTCAGCATGTAGGAGGAGGGTATAGGCGGCTTCTGTGTAGTTTTCAGAGTCTCGGTGCAAGTCCCGCAGCTTGTACAAGTACCTGGTCAGAAGGGGAGGAAGGAGGCACTCAGCCGCTCGGGTTCAGCTCATTCCACAACCAGGCCGCAGCCTGCTTCCCCGTCTTTCCCTCCCTCCTCCTTTCTCACAGATGAAGGAATCCATCACCTCCTGTCTCCCCCTCCCTCTAGCCCTCTCTTCCCACTCCATCTGCTCTAGTTTATACTCTTCCTTTAATGCAGTGGTGCTTAATTTTTTTTTAAATGTCATGGACCTCTTTGGGAAGCTAGTAAGAGCTATCGAATCTCTCCCCAAGGAAATGCATATAGTTAAAGTCCAAGTTTGTTTCATGCTCAGGGCTTCCAGCATCCCAGGCTGACGGTCCTTGACAGAAGGCACCCGTCGATCCTTGCCTCTGCCCAATGCTGCCTTTCCTGACTGCTCTGGCCAGTCTTCTCTCCTTCCCTGGAATCCGAACACTATCCTCCCCATGCACTCCCTCAGACTGTATTTATTTATCTGTCTAAACAGTTTACCTTTTGGGGGGAAGGGGGTAGATCACCTACTTTCTGGTGTCTCTCAAAGCAGCAAGCATGGTGTTGGGACTTAGTATTTGCTTACCGAAGAAATAAATAATAAAGCCATGACATAAATGGCAAAAGCAGAAATCTCCTCCAGCTTACCTTATGTATATGTCCTCTCTCTTCTTTTCTTTGTAAAAATTCTACCGAAAAAAAGGGTGGCAAAAATATCAACGTAAGTCAAAAGTTATGGAGAAGCTAGCCACAGAAATGGCCAAACCACTACTTTTGCTTTTCAACAGTGTCACTTTTCCAGAGGTTATTGTTTTCCTTTAACAAATACTCCCACAAAGAAAGGCAGTGACCATTGATAAAGATAAGTAGAAGAATTCTTTTAGGACCATGCATCTAAAAAACATGAGGGCCTCTAAGTGAACAGACAGCCAACCGATACCCAAGTCAATGGATGGTCTTTTTTTTTCTCAAGGGTCAGTGGAGTGGGGTTCTTCATTTATATTAAGCAAAGCATAGCAGCCTAAACGGAGGTCTGTGGTCCCGGTTATATATATCTAGGGAAAGGCAAGACCACAGAGTTCTACCACCATGAGGATTCCATAGACTCCCTCCTCTAGTTTCTGATGCAATATTTCCAACAACAAAGCAACCACATATAAACAAGAGAGAGAAAAAGGTGAAGGATGGCCTTCGAGTAAGAGTTGAGCCAAGAGCTTATGTTTCACTTTCCATCCCCATGTCTGTGGGAGTGGATATCTGAGTCCAAAGCTGAGTCAGCAGTTCCAACTGGACTCAGCAGGACATAGACTCCATACAGGTGGCCCCGGGGTACCTTTGTGCCTACTGAGAGCTGAGCCACGCTTGCAGGGGTGGTCAACCCGGGGGCCTGGCACCTACCAGCACGTTCACAGTACAGCTCATGCGGTTCTCCTTGCTCTCGTCATGCATGATAATGGTTCTGTAGTCCAACAGGTGCTCTAACAGGCTGCTGACCAGGAATGCAAACACTTCTCCAGAGGTGGAGAGGTATTTATGTTTCCGGCAATGTTCTAGGAGCCTGGAAGGGTGGAGGTAGAGACAAATGCCCATGTTGCATACTGTCTGTCATTCCAGCACCGTTAATGAGCACTGTCCAAGGTCCTGGCAGCAGGTGGCGCCAGACCAGGAGACACACACCTTTCTGTGTAAGGCCATCCTATCCCAGGGCTTCGCTTATGCCGACCCTCCTGGTGATCTCTCCTGGTGACTCAAGTCCTACATTGTCTTCAGGGCTTTGGCTCAAGTCCCACTGTCACTTAGAATCCCAGCCCACGATGCCATCTTTGAACTTCTATCTGTACTTGTTTTTTGTTTTTGTCTTTTGTCAATACCACAGAAATGAGAACCTTTGCCCAAAAGGTTTATGTAGCCTATCTGATCACTCTACTGAAACTGAAAGAGACCATCTTCCTATGTCTTTATTCTCCCTAAAGCCTAGCACTTCAAGGGCATCCTGTGGGCATTCTGGAAAGCCTTGAATCAGTGCCCAGTCTAGAGGACCCTAGGAATCTAGTGCACATCCACACACATGCCTCTTCAGATGAAAGTGCTATTTAGGCCACAACAACAAAATTGCAAAATTATAAGTAAATAAGCTGAGGATAAACTTTTGATCTAAACCTTCTCCTGCTGGACCCAAATAGAGCAAAGCTACTCTATGGGGGCTTCTTGGATTTGACAAGAAGAAATCTCGGCAAACAAGAGATAAAGAAAGAAATGGGCTCAAAGAATTAGCCCAGACTTTAGGATTACTCTTGAACACTAGAGATTGGTGTAGTCACATTTTTCTGAGTTAGTGATTCAGGAAGAATGAAGAAAAAAGATCTTACAGTGAAAAATCAGATTGGGATTTAAAAAAAAAGGGTAGTTTATCATTTGTAAATTGTGTGTGTATATACGTGTATATGTATGTAATTTCTCCATTTAATTCCCGTACGAGATCTGAATTACAAGAATGATAACGTGGGAAGGTTTGAAACTCAAACAAGTAGACTTAACGGAAACAGGATAAAAAGACCAACGAACGGGTCTTGTCATCCACTAAAAGCAAAATAAGATAAGAGTTCTGGTTCTTGAAAATATAGTTGAGTCATCAATTCAGTTCCATTTCTGAGCAGCCAGTGTGCTGGTTCCTTAAATCTTAAAAAAACAAAAAAGGAAACAGAGTTGGGAGTCCCTGTCCCCAAGCATAGTCTAGTGTGTGCCACTCCCACAAAAGAGGTGGACAACAAAATGACGGAAGCATATGCCCAATCAACAGGTGACACAGCTGGTCAGTATCACAAAGGCTCAGAGAACCCACAAAATGAGTAGGCTCAGGTGGTGAGCACCATGGATGATGGAGGACTTGAGGATGGTAGCCGTGACCAGCACAAACCCACAGCAGCGACGCTCCATCAGCACAGGCTCGGTAACAGATGCTGTGCTAACGCATCACCTTATTTAATCCTCAACCAGTACCAAAGTGTACGCGCCATTCGTGCGAATGAAAAAGAGAGAGCCATCGGAGAGGTCGTCAGAACACTGGTCCAAAGTCATGCTCCTGGGATATGGTGAAAACGAGATTTGAAGGTTTCTCTAACTCCAACCTCCAAGTGTTTTTAACTACCTTTTTATGTTGTAATCCCACGTGTGCAAAGGAGAATTCAGAGGGCAGGAGGGGTGCGCGGGGCATGTGTGGGTGGGTAGGGAGTGGCGGGGATACTGTGAGCACAGGAGGAAATAGAAATGGTGGATGTGGGGGAGGTGGGCAGGGCAGTGCAAAGATCAGCCGGCTGGAGATATAACAGGTGTTCTTTGAGGCCCTCTATAGGGCAGAAGATATTTTTAAAGGTAAAGTGGACTTTGAAATGTTTTTTTTCCTTCCTCCTTTAAAATGGTGCTTTGAAGCCATAATTAGAGGCACTAGCACTTTTGGTGAAGTTCAGCGATTCAAACACTGGGCAAAATGCCACTGCTCTGTACATCTCCCCCTTCTCCTCCATCTGCTCTGTTCTCGAGGGGCCGGCTGGCCAGGAAAACACGGACATTTGACTCCCTCAGACAAACAAATGTCAGCAGCGGATGGTGGAAACTCCATTAACCCCACCGAGGACCATTTGTGGTGGTGACCCCAGTGCTTCTGGAACTACTCGACTAGTCTGTAAGGGTAGCAGAAATCTGCTTCTCTCCCTTGCTAAATGATGCATCCACCTGAGACTTTGTTTCTGAAATACTCACAGTTTTTCCAGAAGGACCTTGTATTGTTCATCTCCTCTGCCCCCTTCCACCTCTTGGTCCAGCTTTGTGATCAACTCGTTCTCAAACTGAAAGCAGAGTCAGACTTTCACAGGAGAATGCCAGGTATCCTTAGAAGAGGACATGTAAGACACCCAGCCAGCCTTCCTAGATTCGACCCAACCCCTTTATTGAACTGTGAACGCTTTCCAACATATTCTAGGGGAAGATCGTACTTCACGTCATCCATTAATCATGTACCAGGGCTCTACCAAAACGCTCTAAACTCGTCTCATGTTATTTTGCTTTACGTTGCAGGAAAAAAAAATGCCCTTTCTTCCTCTGAAGGAGACCTCAAAATAAGAGACCACCGCATCAGTCCCCCAATCCATGGCATTATTTTTGCAGCTGTGCTGCAACAGATAGGATTAAGATGTGTGATGTCAAATTTTAATTACCCAGAGATGCAGTGCCGTTTTAGGAAACACATGTAGCAAAAAGATGGTTTCTAGAACATCCGATTCTGTCTCTAATTGTTTTACAAAATGAAAAGTAAACAGTTTTTAGACCAACTTGGATTTGTATTACTCAGGCAACTGCTTCTCTCTAGAGAAAGAAAGAGCAAGTGTTGACTATCTGTGCATCCGGAAGATTCCAGTTCTACCACTTACCATGTGGAAATTGCCGTTCCCACTAAAGTTGAACTCACACTGCATCATGTCAAAGAAAATGGGGATGGTGGCTTTCCGGAGCTCAACCTCAGGGGTCAGGGTGACCTCTAGAATTGGACCCACCATGGAGGGGATAAATTTGATTTTGTGGGGACCTGAAATGAAAGTAAGTGAGGGTATTGAAAAGTGATTTCACTGGAAGTCAAGCGTCACCACACTCCTCCATGGGGCCAGAAGAAAAGAAAAAGGTCACGTGGGTAAATCAACTCAATTCAGAAATGAGTGCCTAAATATTTTATTCTGTTGTCATAATACAAGAGCTACAAGTCAACTTTCATTTCTAGACACACAGACAAAGAGGTCTCAGGGTTACTGAGACTTAAAATCAAAAGAACCCATCATGGGGTGCTCATTACATAGGAGTTGTGCGTGGGCCGGTTCAAGGTCATACACTCACCCAGGTTATACCACATGTCCCGGATTCTGAAGCCGATTTCCTTTCTCATGTCTCCGTATCTAGGAAGAAGATCATAAAAAAGAAAAAGATCTGCAGTGGAAATAAGTGCATATATTAAAATGATGAGGCAAGTAAAGATGGCCATTTGCTCCTCTCGGTCACATTTATGACAGGTTTGAAGCAAGGTCACTTTAAGAAATGCAGTCAATACCAAAAAGAGCCCCCAAAGAGAACTGAGCCACATGGATAGGGGGACTTTACTAGCAGGAGGGGGCCAAATGAGAACACTGAAAAGTAACAGAAAAATAAAATTGTCAAACTTATTGAAGGGAGAAGGGGGAGGAGCATTCTGGCCAATATTAAGCAAAGAAACAAACCAAAACATAACAAGCATGAATGAAAAGGAAGATGAATGAGATATGATTTATATAGTCATGTGATTAATGTCTAACAAACATACTGACTTTATACATTTTTTATTTGAGTAACCCATCTGCAAACCAGTACGTTCTTCAAAGTACTCACACTGAGAAGCTCGAGATATATTTTCTCAGTCGGGGGGGGGGGGTGCTGTCCCCAGAGGGATGAACGTTGGTCCTCGGGGGCGCGGAAGGCTTACTGTTCTTACATATGAAGTTCAAATATACATATAGCATACAAACAGATATGCAGTGTATCTATGGTATTAATATTTCAGGGGGGTGTGATTAGAAAACCAAAAAAAAAATTTCTGAAAAGGTTCCTTATAGGAGTCAATGAAAAAAAGAAAGAGAGAAACATTGATCCAGACAGTGGTTTGTGGCTGGAGATGAATCAAAATCACCTGGATATCTCTTAAAGAATACACAGGCCTGAGGCTACCCCACACCGCAACCACAGAGGCTGGGGGCTGGGAAAACGAGAAATATGGCCAATGTTCCCAGGGAACTCTAATAAGGACCTATGGCCCATCCTACAACCGTATTTCGACATTTTCTGCTCATTGCACCAAACATTGTTTTCAAATTCCTCCTCTGTAAATGCCTTCAGAAACCAGTATAAAATTTTTATTTAAAGACTTCTCCTACAAAAACAAAACAAAAACAAACTTCTCTTACTATTCCATTTTAACAAAAACACCTAATTTTATTAATTTATACTAGGTAAGCATATGTAGTTAATGTCTGGCACATAAACAATAAATGATAATTACTCCTATTGTTTATTAATACTGCTGTTGATGCTACTGCTACTAAAAATAAGAGAAATCTTGAAAAAAACTGATTTGTATTTCTATAACATTAATAAAAATGTTTTCCCAAGGTGCACCTTTGCCCATATGCATATATATTTTATACAGCTTGTCCTCAGTCACACTTCCCTCTAATCAAAACCAGAATCATTAAGCCTAACTAGCCAGTTTATTTATGACTTGGCATCAACTAACTTCACTTTTGATTGTTTAACGAAAATCAAATCCATCCTTGAAAGAAGTTATGTCACTAAAGATAGTCTAAAGGATAAGAGATCCATCTTAAAAACTCAATTTTCTCTCCATACCCACCCCATAGGGAAATCTGTAAAACCGGTTTTACTTTTATCTTTGAGATTTAAATCTCAACCTCTCAGCCACCGTATCAGTGTTTTAGGGAGAAACCAAGGGTAGAGAGACACCAAATAATTTGCCTAGAATCCCCAACATCCCGGCAAGGGAACAGAGCTCAAATTTCACAGCCTTTAAATGACACATTTCTCACGTTCTATTTAACTACACAGTCCTGAGTTTCCAGGCTCCCCGTGAACTCTGAAACAGACCAGGAAGGAAAGCAATGAAAAGCTTCCCTAAATCTCTCATCGCTCTCGGTCATATGTCCACGTGAAATTCTGAGCCAGGAATCTGGAGGGCATTTTTAGGGGATGTGTTAGTCTTGGACCCTCTGCTGAAGTGCCCGAGAGGTGAAACGGTGAGGCCACAGGAGTCTGCTTTGTGAAGCATGAGCGAGAGGTGCTGTGCCTGCAGTGTGGGTAAGCGCTGTTCTTGGGGATGGGAGCCCTGGCCAGCCTCAGTGCCTCTCCAAGTATGGATTCCATTTTAAAAATTTGGATGGGTGGGGCGCCTGGGAGGCTCAGTTGGTTAAGCATCTGCCTTCGGCTCAGGTCATGATCCCAGGGTCCTGGAATTGAGCCCCGCATCGGGCTCCCTGCTCAGCGGGGAGCCTGCCTCTCCCTCTCCCTCTGCCCCTCCCCCGGCGTTCCCTCTCATTCTCTCTCTCAAGTAAATAAATAGAATCTTTTTAAAAAATTGTAATGGTTGGTGGGAAAATGAAGGGGGCCTTGAGAAAAGAGACATGAATTAGAGGAAATCTGAAGCCTATTAAATGATTCCATTAAGACCTATCTCACCAACAACATGGGGAGCCCCTGAACAGTAATGTTTCTGTGAAACCAAAACTCCTGCTCTGAATAGAAATGGGAGAATCGGGGCGCCGGGGTGGCTCAGTCGGTTAAGCGTCTTGCCTTCGGCTCAGGTCATGATCCAGGGTCCTGGGATTGAGCCCCGCATTGGGCTCCCTGCCTGGCGGGGAGTCTGCTTCTCCCCCTCCCACTCCCCGTTTGTGCACTCGCTCACTCGCTCTCTCTCACACACTCTCTCTCTCAAATAAATAAAATCTTTTTTAAAAAAAAGTAGAAACGGAAGAATCACCTTGCCAATCTTAAGCGAGTTTAAGAGGGCACTTACTTTTTGACAATTTTGTTGCGCTTGGCTTGAGAGAAGGTTTCAAGCTGAAGGGACTCGTGGGTGAGAAATGCTACTGCCAAATGGAAGTAATTGTTCCAGAGCTGCTCAAAATTGATTGTGTGGGTGAAAAGAAATGGAAAATAACATTAATATGGGTCAGAGTAAAACAGTGCCACATGGTAGAAATTTACTCACAGGGAGTAAGGAAAGAAACAAAATAAAATCCACCAGGCCCCTTTTCCTTTCTCGTGTTTCAGTTATTCAGCCCTGAAAGTTTTAATACTTACTATTAAGCTTTTTTTTTTTTTTTAATCCAGACTATTCTATTTGTCTTTACTCCTGAGATAGGGGAAAACTGCTGCCAAGAAGTGCACCTATTTATAGTGAGTAGTTTGGCAATATGTATCAAAAGCCCTAAAATTCTGCCAACTTCTGAAATAGTAAATACTTTAGGACTTTATCCTGGCAAAATAATCATGGGTATTTAAAAATATTTAAAGCAAGGAAGGCCTTCACAGTGTTATTTAAATAACAGAAGATGGAAACAATCTAAATGTTCTTAAGAAGAATTTGGTTAAATAAATCATGGCCCAGCCATGCAATGGACTGTACTCAGCCATTAAAAATACTGTGAAAACATTTAATATCATTGAAAAGATGATAGAAAAAAATTATATTAATAGGTTGCCAAAGAACTGCACAGCTTGATTCCACTTTGGCATACACACACACACACACACACACACATATTATTTCTAACCAGCAAATCTAGATACTCCATTTTAGCTCATATAGACACACACACACACACACACATACACACACACACACATATATTATTTCTAACCAGCAAGTCTAGATATTCCATTTTAGCTCATATAGACAAACACACACATATGTATGTATATATAAATACATATATAATCTCCTCTTCTGGTGACTCTCCACTCTTAAATTCCACAGATATAAACAAAGCCACATGACACAGCAAAAGCACATCACCAAGAACTGTTTGCACCATGGGAGCGGGGAACTTGTCTGCCTTCACCGGGGCCTAGAATGGTGCCCTGTGCCTATAAATACTCTCATATTTGTTGGATGAATGAAGATGGAGCTAGGGGTCACCTGTTTCACTACCACTTTGGATTGTCACACAAGTGTGTATATGAACCCGTCCTTAGAAACGAAACCACTTGTAGGCAGAGAAATGTCTGCATGTCCACCTGCAAGCACACGTGTATATGTGTATTTGTGTTATGTTAACAGCAGAAGGTAGGACTATTTGTCTTTCAATTTTTTTCTTTTTCCTTAGCCATATTTTCTATTACTTAAAAAAAAAAAACCTGTATTCGTTATACAGAAAGAAAAAACTCTACTTGATTGTGTCTGGAGGACAGAGTGACAGGAATGTATGCTTAAGGGAAAGGAGAAAAAACAAGAAAACTGTTTGCACTTGAAAATGATAAAATTTGAAGTGACATTTTCCAAAATGCCACAGTTGTCTTGCTGTGGCTGAGAATTCAAGGAGCTTCCTAGATGAGCAGCATGCTTACCTGAAGTTCAAAGCTTGTCTGATCCATGAAGAACTTTGTGAGAACCTCAGTAAACTGATTTATCGCACGGAGGAAAACTCTGCGGAAGGAAAATATCAGATAAGGAAGGCAACTTCCTGCTCTTCCAAACATCTCCCATCTACGTGAAGAACCAAAGCAATCTAAACCTGGATTTGGCAACATGAGACCCTTAGCTCTATCAAGGTCATCAGAGACCAACGCCAAAGTAGACTACAGCGGACGCTCAAGTGCAGTTTCTAGAACTGACTACAAGAGCCACTCAAGGCTGCATCACCATTTAGCCACTTGAGGGTAGAGCCGGGATGATCAAACAGGTGCCCTGAGCCTCAGACAGGGTTCCTTGCACTCTATTGTGATGCTTCTCTTTGCAAGTCTAGTGATACTGATGAGAGTTTTTCTTTAATCTGTACGTAGTTCAGCAGGGTTTTTCTAATCAGGTATGTGGAGTTAACAACTCTAAGAAAGGTTTACTTTATTTAGTTCTTTCAAAAAATTCTGAAATCTTATTTGATATCTATAAGTGTGTATATGTATATATACATGTATATATACATATACATATATACACATATATAAAATTCTGAAACTCTGAAAAGATACATATATTCAGTTCATTTTGCTCCCATTCACCAAGTATTTATTACAGTCCAACAACTGCAAAGCACTGGCTTAGGTTTCGCCTTGAAAGAGAGGGTTCCTGGGCTGAAGATGTTTACAACTTGGTGGGGGTCACTTGTGAATCTGTAAATCTAACCATGACAACAATAAAGAATATGGAAAATTCAGTGGAGGGGCTACCAAAGAGGTACGGGACATCAAAGGAAGAGAATGCCACGTCCCGGTCAGAAAGGCTTCCTCTGGAGATGGCATTTGAGAAGGACGTTGAATGGTGGCACGTTGACAGCCAGTGGTTACATGGGAAGGCACCGCAGGTGGAAGAAGCAGCCCAACAGAAGGCACAGAACACGTCCAGGGACCAGGAAGAGGCCAGTTTGGTTGGAGTGCAGGCTGTACACTGAGGGAAATAGTGGAAGGTAAGGCTAGAAAAGCAGGGTGGGCCAGGCCACAGAGGCCCTGCCTGTCCTGACGATGAAAGCCACAGGGAGCCATGGAAGGGCGCTGTGGGAGAGCCAGCAGGAGGAGGTGGACAGGAAGGCAATGAGGAGATTCCACCAAAGCTGAGAGCCCGAGGCAGGGCAGCTACGCCAGCCCAGGGGAAAGCAAGAACACGAGCCCAGAACGAGCATCCCAGCAACTGGAGGCTCCTTACTCTACCGAGCATGATGTCCCGCCCAGAGATTCAACAGCACTCTCTGAAGGTCGGATAACTGGTCACCTGGTCATGAGAGCCAAGTATTCAGGGTCAAAGGCTGCACGCCCAGCCCTGGGCCGTCTTACCTGCTCTGGGTCATATTCATGACCATCCAGTCTTTGGCATAGACATTCTTTCCAATCAGATCCTTAAACATGATGAAAGTCTCCATGAGGAAGTCCTGCAGAGAACAAAGGAGAAACATTTGGGGGAAAACTAGGGGACAGGAGGGAGCATGGCATCAGAACAAGACGTCCCTGGCCCATCATTACAGCTTATCTTTTAAATAAGGGTTTTTAGGGACCTGACAAGGACAAAAATGATAAAACTGAGGCTGTGAAAAGGTAAAAGACTTGCTGAAGGCTGTAGAGACTGGGTGGTGGGAGAGTGGGAAAGAGAATGTGGGGTTCTGGACCCCAAATTTAGAGCCATGGTGACTTTGGCCCTCTGCTGCCAAGTTTGTCCAAACAGATCTACTGCACTTAAAATGAATTTACCAGCAATTGTGATACTTCTTGTAACTCTGAGCCCAATTCTCCTTTATTATTGTTAGAACAGAAGAAAACCACTATAAATAAAAAGCAAAGTCATAATTCTTCCTATTCCAGAAACATTCCCACGGGTAGCCCAGGGGAAGGGGCCTAAAGGGTCCTTAAAAAGCATCAGTAGCAGTGGGTTGCGATGACAGTAATAGCTTAATAACAAAAGAACAGAGAGCACAGTATCTGCAGAACAGCTATTCGACTCAAAAGGGGACTGTGAGCAAAAAGCAACATAGAACGATCTGGACTAAAAGTCAAAGCTAAAAAGTTTTGAAAGCCTTTTATTTATTAGTTAGTTAAATTTAGACATTTTCCACTTGGATTCCGGAGTTGAAAATCCAGGCCAATTCCTCTGGCATTAAACCGCACAGTTCTATCTCATGGATTACATCATGTAGCAGAAGGAGTGCGGGAGTTGGGAAGCCTGGGTTCTATTTTCAAACGCTGTTCCTCCGAGACGGTGGGCAAGATGGCTGCCACAGAGCACCGGAGTGCCAACAATCCTGGCTGTGAAGTCTCTGCGACCTTTGACTCTTCCTCCGGTTCAGTGGAGAGTCAAACTTTTCTATCTTCAATTCTCAAATCATAGACATACCTCATGAGTTTTAAAATTTTTTGTCATCATATATTTGAAGTATACCCACCAATTTATTAACTATTCTATTAACTCTCCCAAATCAGTAAGTATTCGTGGTTTGTGAAGCAAGCATTATGTTTAGAGGTTGGTCATCCACTCCTGATCTCAATTCTACATTCAACTCCTGGTAAACTAATTTAACTGGAAATAGTGATGGTATAATGAAGGTAATTCACAGACTGTCCCAGGCCTTACTTTATCTCCCGCTTCCCAATGTCTTCCAAGTGATTTACTCAGAAGGCAGCAGGAGGGAGGGAAAGGACAGTCCACTGGAAGTCAAATGGCCTAGCTGTACGCCGCAGGCTTGCCCCTGACGACAAAAGTTCCCTCATGCGGATAATAATCCTTTTTAAATTAGATAATACAGGGGAAAGAGCTTACCATTGTTTGGAAGACAGGAGTTAAACCTGGGTTTTTTTTGCTTACTTAATGGAACCAAATTGTCAAAAGATTGAATTTAGTTTAACTTCCCTTATTCTACCTGCTTTCTGAAGGAATAAAGAGTCACTAAACTATAATAATAAAATTTTTATTATTATATAATAAAAGAGAGAATATTAAAATTACTATTATAAATAGCTGGCTTCATAGGCATTAACCACATGCCAAGCACAAAGCTTGGTAATTACCAGGTGTTGAGTCAATCGATACTCATTTATGTTAACCCTCAAAATAAGTGCTAACTTATAGACAAGGAACCTGAGCTTTACTGAAGTTAAATAGCTGGGCCAAAATTTCATAGGAGGAAGTAGAATGGCCAGAATGGATGTTCTAAAGCCTGTGCTCTTAAACCACTATACCTTCTGCCTATGGAGGAGAAATATTGCTACCCTCAGCTTCCCTCCTCTGTTCCTAATTCTCTTGCCCTTGGTCTCTGTGGGCACAGTGACATATTGCTACAGGTCCCTATACCATCCTGCCTGCCAGAGCATGGCTTAAGTGGAGGCTCATGGAGGCCTCCAGATTAAGCCACATGCCATTACCACCACCACTACTACTACAAACTACTACTACTAGAGAAGAGCGCTCTCTCTGCTGTTCCTTGTGTGTTTTTCCATCATGTGGACCTCACAGAAAGGAAGGCGATTGGCAGAGAAGGAGCTGAACATCCTTGGGTGTACAGGCTACATACTACCAGTATAGTATAAATAGAAAGAAGACTGGAAAATGCACAGATGGTGGGAGATCGTCCACAGCAAGGACTAGTGCAACAGGACACTGGATTGCTGAGCCAGCTGTGTCAGGCCCACTGCTTTACAAGATGATACTTTCAGGCACTTAACGCCACTAACAATTCCCTAAGGGGAAGGATCCTGGGGAAGCAGCCAGAGGCCTAAATTTGTGTCTTGGGCAACCTTTGGTTGTATGCCGAATAGTAATCATGGGAACAATTTTCTGGTTGAAAACAAAAGAGAATGGAGTATTGTCAACTGAAGGTGACTGATACTTGCCAGAGGGCAAATATCACCTTACAGGTGTTATAAGGGGCAAGTATGACCTCTTCTTGTTTCCCTTTCCAGGGACTACTGAAAAGGATGATGCCAACCACATCTCCGAAGCAGTACCGTGCACTCTCTGCCTCCTAGAATCCTTGCCATGGCGTAACAGCTAGCTCTGAAAATGAGGTACTACTCTCTTCTGAGAGCAAAACAGATCTCCCAGATGGTTCCAAGTAAGGGTTCTCTCTAGATCCAAGAGACTCAGAGGGTGGGTGAGGGCCTCTCGGTACATGTTTTGTAGTCTTCAAATGCTATCACAGAGAGAAAATAAGAATCAGTCCTTCCCCCTTTTTGTACTCACTGTGGACAGTCATGCAGGACTGGAGGTGGGTAGGAAGGGAATTCGGGACTCATGATGCTCAGTTTTGTTTTTGTTTTTGCCCAATATAAGAAGTCTTAGCGTTACCAGGACCCAGTGAAGACAACTTACAACGAGGTCTTGTCTGGTCTTGAAAGTGCTGATATAGTGGCTGTAGTGACTGTCATCCATCTGCCTCAGGGTCGCAATCATACACGCCACAAAGCTCCCCTGGAAGGACAGGAGACACACAGATCCAAGACCCCTCAGACCACCAGCTGACAGAACAAGGTTTGTGCGCAGGTACTCTGGCTGTCTCCCAACCAGTTACCAAAAACGGGGACCCTACCAACCTGGAAACATTGTGCGTGCTGAAGGCCTAAAATGCACACACTTTGCTGTTTCTGCTTAAAATAACCTCCTTCCAGGTTTGAGTTAAGGAATGTGGAGGGCTCTGCTCGGCCCTTTAATAGTATGACTTGCAGAATCCCGTAGGTCAACGGACACTGACTCTGAGATCTCAGCTAGATCACTAGTTGAAATACCACCACCTGGGGCCTTTGAGTTTCTTGTTGAGACAGAGTTGTAGTCCATGGAGAAATGTCTGAGATAGTACAAATTTAATTTTGGAGGAATGCAAGGAGAAAAAAGAGATCGTAAAACTGAGAGCAGAAGAGCATAGAGATGGCGAAATGAGTGCTCCCAGCTAGAGCCCGTCAATGTCGTTCTTCCAGTAACAGAATCCTTCAGACAGTTACTTCCAGCGTGTTATGCGTGTGTGATTACAGATGGGGTTTGAAGAAAGGGACTGAATAACTTGATGATTAACATCAATTTATATTTTTGAAGTCAGGCATTACACATTCTATGTGCTTTCCTCTCATCCAATCATATTTGAATCACACACTTAATTTTCTGGCCAGAGGGCAACTATCTAGGGGAGAATGCCCTCCTGTATTTACATAGTTATTTAAATGAATTGGCATAGAGAAGATGAATACACAGCTATTTTGGGGATGGAAGGAATGACTTCCTAAACACAAACACAATGAAAGAATACTCTCTGAATGAATGCCTTAGTCTCTTTGGTTTAAAAAGTTTTAATTTTTCTAATTATAAAAGCAATGGAAATTTATTGTCCGAAGACTTCTGACACACAGTGCCAAACCACAGAGTTTGCATTCCTGTCATTATCATACTACTGGCTTCTCTAGGCCTTTGCCTATTCTAGGTCTCTGAGTTTTATTTAATTTCATTTTTGGTTAATTTGCATTTCCTTTGTTCCGAATTACATATTCTGTCTCCTTGTTGGTTGGCCATTTGTTTTTCTCATTTTGCTGTTTGCTCATATTCTTTACCCATTTTTCTACTAAAATATCCCTTTTTTAATGGTTTGTAATAGGTCTTTGTATATTAAGGCTATTAGCCACTCGGCACAGATTTTACAAAATAATTTTTGGAGTTTGGTGCTTGACATTTAATTTGCTTACATATATATTTTCCCATATAGGGGTTTAGTTTTTTTACCTAGTAAACTTTATCTTTTTTTTTCATAGTAGCCTTTCTATTTTTAAAAATTCATGAATCTCTTTTTTCTTAAAAATAGGTATAGAAAAAGAGGTATGGGTAAATGGAATTAAGAGCACACTTATCATGATGAGCACTGAGAAGTGTATAGAATCGTTTTGTTTTTTTTTTTAAAGATTTTATTTATTTATTTGACAGAGAGAGAGAGAGACAGCGAGAGAGGGAACACAAGCAGGGGGAGTGTTAAGAGGGAGAAGCAGGCTTCTCGCCGAGCAGGGAGCCCGACGCGGGGCTCGATCCCAGGACCCTGGGATCATGACCTGAGCCGAAGGCAGACACTTAACGACTGAGCCACTCAGGTGCCCCTAGAACTGCTGAATCACTATTCTGTACACCCGAAACTAATATAACACTGTGTTAATTATAATGGAATTTTTAGAAGTATAGATTATGTTTTCTTCTAGGTGCTTCATTTTTTTTTTTTTTTACATTGAACTTTCATTCCATCTGAAATTTATTTTTTTGGATATAGCATGAAATAAAAGTCAAACTTTTTTCCACAGTGTTCATAATTTTCCAAATCACATTTACTAAAAATCTTCACTTTCCCTACTGAAAGATAATAGAATTTTCATATAATCTAAAGTTGCCTTTTAAATTCTCTCAGTTCTGTTCTGTGGATTTATGTCTATTCCATAAGTCTGACACTATTTTAATTATTGTAGCTAATTATAATGTAGCCAATTATAATTATAATGTAGCTAAATATAATGTATATTGTAGCTAACTATAATGTAGCTAAATATAATGTAGCTAATTATAATAAATCTGACAGGCAAGCCCCCCACTATTATTTCTATGTGGCTATTCATTTATGTGTATAATTGTATTTATCTTCTTAAAAGTTTTAATTTATTTATTCATTTAACATGGGGCTCAAACTCACAACCCCGAGATCAAGAGTTGCACACTCTTCTGACTTAGCCAGCCAGGCGCCCCATCTTGTATTTATTTTTACTCTCATATTTTTGTGACTGAGTTAAATGGGATTTTTCTTTTACAACCCCTAAATAGCTACTGTAGTCATATAGAAAGGCCATTGAATAGTTTAATAAATTGTTCATTACTTCTGTTAAAATTTTGTTAGGTCTCTTGGGTTTCCTAGAAATGGTAGTCATTTCACTAAAAATGACAATTATGAAAATTATTTTCTCCTTTTTCAATAGTCATACTAAGTTCATACATATAATGTGTATATGTGTACGCATTTGTGTTATTACATTGGCTACAATTTATAGAAAAATGCTAAACAGTGTTGACATTTCACATCTTGATTCTCCTTTTTATGACCATCAAGTAATAGGTTGCCTAGTGATTGCATGTTAACATTTCCTTCCATTAATTTGGAATAGATGTTACATCCATCACATATATTTTGGCATCTATGGAAATAGTCATAAAGCTTTTTTCCTTTTGTTCAACTGATGTATTTTATTAACAGATTCTTTACTGAAAATATTCTTTTTCTTTTTTTCTTTTTTTTTTTTTTAAGTAGGCTCCATGCCCAGTGCCGGGCTTGAACTCACGCCTCTGAGATCCAGGCCTGAGCTGAGATCAAGAGTCAGATGCTTAACAGACTGAGCCGCCCAGGCGCCTCTAACAGGTCCTCTAATACTTAACTATTCTTGAGTATGAGAATAAGCTCAATTAAGCCACATATATCTATATTCATTCACTTATTTATTTCTTTATATGTTCTTTAAACACATGGCAGCAATGGGTTGACAATAACAATGAAGGGGTCTAGGTCTACACCTTTAGTACGGGATCTGAATCCTTTCATGTTTTGGATCGCCTGGAGTCTTAACCTAGTGGGTACCTCTCTACATTCCTATTTGGACCAGCTCTGTCACCAGATGTGACTCTTACACGAGGGACATCTTGAGATTTCTGCCCTGGCCTTTGCCTCTGCCTGAAAGGCCCCTCCCCACACCTCCACACTACCCCCTCTACCTTCTCCAAGTCTTCTTCCAAATTTTCCCTTCTCATGAAAATCATTCTTAATCACCTCGTTTAAATTTGTAACTCTCCCACCTTGACTGCCCTCATCCTCTCATTTTTTTTCTTCATGGCACGTATCCTATTTTTTGTTACTGGTATTTGCTAGAATATAAACTTCGCTAAGGTAGTGATTTTTGTCTGTTTTGTTCCCTAATCTCCCTCCAGTGTCTAGAATTAGTTCCTGGCTTATAGTAGTTTCTTAACACCTATTGGTTGAATAAATAAATGGCTTTTATTGACTATCACCATTTGGAATGGTTCTTTGCCTTCTGTCCTCTAAATAAGATCAAATCGTAGCTTTTAGCAGCATAAGTAGAAGACCGCTTCATTTTAATGATACAGTATGGTCTTCCAACAGCTACCCCTGGTTGCAAAGGTACTTCTTCTTTGACGTCTAACTGAGGCCCAGGAGGTGGAGAGGGAGAGACCAGGGCAACCAGATGTTTCTAAAAACATGCTCATCACAAGTTCTTTCAAATATTTCTTTTTCTTTGAACCAAAAGGGCTGGATGGTACCACAGGGCACCAATCTACAAGCACACTACACAGCAGTGGAAATGCAATGCAGGGGAAGATGGAACTGATCAGAATTCCTCTCCTCGCGACTACAGTGCATAGTTGGAAAACATAACCTGGTAAGCTGCCCAGGGTGGGGGCGGCCGCCATGCACGGCCTCGGCAGCAGACTGGCTGCCTGGGACCCAAACCCCCATTCAACCCCCTGGTGGTCTTGCAACCTCAGGCAGGTTTCTTAGCCTCTTTCTGCAAGTTTCCTGATTTGAAAAATGCAGCTGAAGGGCGAACTATCTCCTGAGATCTGTGTGAGGCTTCCATGAAATGTAAAGTGGTGGGGCACCTGGGGGACTCAGTCAGTTAAGCGTCTGCCCTTGGCTCAGGTCATGATCCCAGGGTCCTGCTCGGCAGGGAGCCTGCTTCTCCCTCTCCCCAACTTGTGCTCTCTCTCAAATAAAATCTTAAAAAAAAATAAAAAGAAAGAAATGTAAAGTGCTTAAAATAATTTCTGATTAAAAAAAAAAAGAAAGACCCAAACCAGCTAATGACTACTAGTATTATCATCACTACATCTAGGAGTACTAATACTGTTCCTATTATCATTCTAACAAGGGTAGATCCAGAGGAGCATGTGAGATTTGGAACGCAATTACTTGAGATAACAGAGGAAGGACTGAATGTAGCCACCACAACCCTTCATCTTCTGCTCACAAAAGCTCATGTTGTCCTTAAATGAAATATTCAACAAAGGGCGCCTGGGTGGCTCAGTTGTTAAACGTCTGCCTTCGGCTCAGGTCATGGTCCCAGGGTCCTGGGATCGAGCCCCACATCGGGCTCCAGCCCCACATCGGGCTCCCTGCTCAGCAGGAAGCCTGCTTCTCTCTCTCCCACTGGCCCTGCTTGTGTTCCCTCTCTCGCTGTGTCTCTCTCTGTCAAATAAATAAGTAAAATCTTTAAAAAAAAGAAATAGTCAACAAATATTAAAAGAGCATGAGGTCAAATGGGTACTGAGTTTGCCTACCTGGGGAGCCCACACGTCTCAGTCTCTGCTGGATCGTATTACAACAGGCTTGTCTAATGTTCAGAACGGATCTGTCCACTTTGTGTTTACAGGGTCCCCAATAACTCTCCCCCCTTAACCTCTCCCACCACCCTGTTGGAGCATTTTCCCTCGAGAGAAAAATCAGTGTTGGAATCAAGATCTGCAGGCAGTTAGAACCAAGGTCACTCATCCTGGAGGGCTGGAAAGTTCTAGAGCCTGCTCATTGCCCCTGGCGGCTGTGACACACAGCGTGCAGGCAGACGGTGAACTGGGATGAGTGGGGCCTGTGGGAATCTGGTCCCAAGACCCTGGTCCCGAGGACTCCCAGTGGGCAGGTGGGACACTGAGAAGCCGCAGTGGCTGCCTGGTCCCAACATGATACTCACAATATGGGGAGATTGTCGGCTCATCCCAATCACGGTCCGGTTGATCCTTCTCAGCAGCCGTTCCATTATCAGCTGGATGTGCATCGCCGTGGGGCCCTGTGGAGGAAACACGGGAATTGACCCCACTTCTTCTGACTCAGCTTCACTTTTCATCAACTGACCTTTGAAAGGTGAGTTTTCTCGTAAGTCTCATTCTGGCTCTTCCCTGCAAAGCAATCTCTTGTCCAAAAAGGGAAAAAGAAGTTCACAGATGAACACATACTGTTACTTGGGAATCAGTTGAAAATGATTAGGTATGCCATGTAAAAGCTGAGTGTGGGGATGCAGGGGAGAACACCTCCCTAGCAACCCAGACCATCTGCGCTCACTACAAGGTCACTGTGACCACCAACTCAATGTAGTTCTGGGGGGACACCCCTGGCATGAGAAGTCAGTCCTGATGCTGAGTACATGGGGTGGCCCAGGAGAACTAGGCATGTGCATGGGAATGAAAAGGTAAAAATTCAACATTCTTGCCACCTTCTGTGTAGGAGGAAAAAAAACCCAAGAAATTCAAGTCAAGGAGATTGGTATTGACTGAATGTATGTGTTCAAAAGTCATATGCTGGGGGCATCTGACTGGCTCGATCGGTAGAGCATGTGGCTCTTGATTTGGGGGTTTTGAGTCTGAGCCCCACACAGGGCACAGAGATTACTTAAAAAAAATTTTTTTTTTAGCTAAAAAAAAAGTTTTGGAAACCCCACAAAAGTCATATGCTGGTGCTTTAACTTCTCATGTGATGGTATTTAGAGATGGATTTTGGGGAGGCAATTAGGTCATGAAGGCAGGGCCCTGGTCTTAAGGGTTAGTGTCCTTATAAGGAGACACCAGAGAGCTGGCCTTTTCTCTTGCCACACATATACTGAGGAAAAGCCATATGAGGACAGAGAGCCAGCAACCGTCTTCAGGCCAGGAGGGGTCCCCCCCCACCAGGAACTGGACTGCACGGGCACCCTGACTTTGGACTTCCAGCCGCCAGAACCACGGGAAATAAATATCTGTTGCTTAAGCTGCTCAGTCTAGGGTATTTTGTTTTGGCAGCCTGAGAAGAATAACACAAGAATTTAATATTTTGACTTTGTCATGTGTCACTCTGAGCAATTATTTAACTTTGTTGAGCCTCTGTTTTCATAGCTGGGATAAAAAAGTTTCCCTTACAGGAATTAGCTGAGCTGGTGTACACAACAAAGAGTGCCTCACAAGTACGTATTTTTTTTTTAAGATTTTGTTTATTTATTTGAAAGAGAGAGGTAGAGCACAGAGGGAGATGGAGAGGGAGAAGCAGACTCCCTGATGAGCAGGGAGCCCGATGTGGGACTCGATCCCAGGACCCCAGGATCATGACCTGAGCCGAAGGCAGATGCTTAACTGACTGAGCCACCCAGGGGCCCCACAAATATGTATTCTTTATTTTTCCTTCTCTCCTTCTTGTGACTTGATGTTATACTCATTCAGCTCCAAGTTAGCAATATTCAACCTTGTCTTTCAAAACTTTTATCCATTCTTGCTTCATGATACATATTTTGAAACTCCTAGTTAATGCTTCAAATAACTAAATCACTACTATATATAGTTTTATTAAAATATCAAGTATTGTTAGCTTCCCTTTCGTGCCTCCCTTCTTTCCTTCTTTGTTTTTATTATATATTCACTTGCTTCCCATTTCTTTGAGGGAACGTGATCCATAAACCCTGCCTCTCTGTTGAGGCATTTTACCCTCTATTATGTAACAAGACCACACCCCAGACCTGGCTAGGTGTGTGAGTCCTGTGCTGGCCCCGCGTGGAGGTAGGAGAAGGAATCAGGCATTCTCTGAGCCCTTCAGGGAGTCACCTCCAGCAGGAGAGCTGGGGCTTGAAGATAAATAAGCAAAACACTGGATCCTCCTAGAAGGTCAGCTCCATGAAGGCAGGCTCTTGCTTCTCTTCTTCACTGCTGCACTCTTAGACCTATCACAGTGCCCAGAGCGAGGGAGCTGTTTAAGACCTGTCTGCGACCTGAATCATAACTCAAGATACAAAACGATAAGGACCTTAAGCAGGATGTGAGGAGAGCACAAAGGGAAGTAGCGGATTGGGGGACTTAGGGCAGGACTGCACCAGGAGTGACCCCATGGAGGTGCTTACTGCAGCTAGACTTTGAAGAATTTGGACATTGTGCAGACACAGCTTTGGGAAAAGAGGAATCCTGGACTATTAAAAAAAAGGCATAGGAATCATGTCAGTAATTAGAGCCGGGAATTAACTGAGGAGATGAGGGGATAGGGGAAGACATACAGGGTTGGTTTGAACATTTAAGAATGCTTATGGTGGGGGATAAAACTGTATCATTATCAACACCAAGAAATTATCAAATTTACTACTTTAACAGACGCTCCAGGATCAATAATCTTGAATGCTTCTGCTCATTACAGGGAACCTTATCAGGAAGACAAAAAAAAAAAGTTTCTTCAACACAATTAAATCTTCCAGCATAAGATGTAAATACATTCAAGTCATTTCCAAAGAGTCCTTCTGTGTGGTAAGAAGGCAGGCAAAGATATTATATTAAAATTTTTATATTAAATATAAATCTTCACATTTAATTAATTTTATATTTATTTATGTTATATAAATATAATATATAAATATATTTATATTAAATATAAATTTTATGTTAAATTTATATTAAACATAAACAATTGTATAATTATTTATATACATTTATATATTTTATACATAATTTATGTTTATATATTTATATTATATATTATTTATTTATATGTAAATATATATTTAACAATGCATGATTATATATTTATAAGTATAATAAATCAATATAATTTTATATTAAATTTATATAAATATTTTTATAATTTGTGTTGTCACAATATAATATATAGTATATAATACATATTATTTTTATATAATATATAATAATACATATTTAAATGTAAATATAAATTTACTATAACAAATTTATATTAAAAAAGATATATTAAAAACAAAACATGGGGTGCCTGGGTGGCTCAGTCAGTTAAGGGACTACTTTTCCCTCTCCCTCTGCCCCTCCCCACCGGCTTGTGCTCTCTCTAATAAGTAAATATAATCTTTAAAAAACAAAACAAAACAGTATCAGATGTGGAAGAGATCTAAGAGGCCATCTAGAACAATCCCTACATGTTATGGAATGGGAAACTGAGGCACCTGCAGATTTGTCTAAGGATACAGAGCTACACATGCGAATACCAGCACTAGAAAACAAACAGCCTGATTCCCATGTTTCAGGTTAGCTTTGGATCATATACATAAACACTTCTAGAACACACTGGAGCCCTGCCAAAACCAAAGTCCCTGGCACACTGTTGCCAACCATAGCTTGGAGCTTCATTTTAGTATTTTGATTACCGAGTCATAAGAGTTACTTTTTAAAAATATTCTTATCATTATGAGCTGATTGGTCACATTTATTTATTTGTTGTAAAATCTTCGGTTAGGAATCAAATCCCCAATCATAAAATTCCTCAGGGAAATTTATTGTATTTTATGTGGTTTCTAGAAACGCGTTTAAGAAAAAAAAAAAGAAGGGGAACATGACCTATAGTTAATAAATATCCAATAAATAATACAAATTGTAAGGTGTGCTGCAGGGGCTCCGGTAGAGAAGCCAATGGCGTTCTCCGGCACCTCCACGGCTGAGGCACGAATTAGCAGAAATGGAGACGTGCCCGTGTGAAGATGAGCAGATGAGGCCAAACTGGGGTGGACCGGGAAAGGTGAGCTAAGAATTTAGCTGCGGGAAACTGACAGAGTGTTCTTCAGCTCCTTTAGCAGAACTGAATCTAAAGATATTGGTAAGAGAACGGGCGTAGGCAAAGCCAAGAGTGTTTTCACTGTTCTGTGGGAACACCGGTGCCAGGTAGCCATTGTGGGGGGGGGTAAGTATGGTTTGTGCTCAGCTGGACACATTCTGCCAACTTGTCCAGCCTCCTGAGAGGTGGCCCTGCCTAGGCTATGGTCTGTGCTATCTCTAGAGCAAGGTAAATCCAGGCTGACGCAGCCCCAGGGTTTCAGGGAGGATGGGTGCCCAGATCAGAGAGACGACGGGAGGTAAGAGAACACATCATTTCCACTAGGCTCCAAAAGGAAGGATCGGTGTCAGGAAGAGTATAAAAATGAGAGCATCTCAGAAGCTCGGGCACATCTACAACAGTCCTATTGTACCAGAGGTAAAAGAGGGCCGAGGGTGCCTGGGTGGCTCAGTTGGTTAAGCGACTGCCTTCGGCTCAGGTCATGATCCTGGAGTCCCTGGATCGAGTCCCGCATCAGGCTCCCTGCTTGACAGGGAGTCTGCTTCTCCCTTGACCCTCCCCCCTCTCATGTGTGCGCACTCTCTCTCTTTCTCTCAAATAAATAAAATCTTAAAAAAAAAAAAATAAAAGAGGGCCGAGGTTTCTGCATAAAAAATCTAAACAGGGCTCTGATTCCTCAAAGCCCCCTCAGGGATCTCAGTGGTGGACAAGTGGGGAAAACCAGCCCACAGCAGGTACCCCAGTAAGCGGACATCTCCTGGACCTAGATTTGCAGCGCAGGCTCTGGCAAGAGGCAGCCCCTCCGATCACCTCAAAACCAGCCCAGCCTGCCCCAGTACCCAGGTTCTAAATGGCCTGGGCCAAGCCCTGAGACGAGGAAGGCCCTGAAGTCATTCTTGCCCGAGGCAGAGGGACCCGTGTGTGCTGTCGTCTGCATCGGGTGATGATTCAACTCACCACATCCTTCCTGTCCAGCACTTCCAGGATATTGCTCAGAAGCTGCGAGCTGGCCTCATGGTCTGGCTTGCTGGAGTTGTCATCTAACTGGCCGCTGAGCTGGTCAATCAGCAGCGGCAGCAGCACCTCTCTGCACTCTGGGGGAGAAAGTGCACCCAGCTCACCAGCTGCAGCAGCCTCCCCTGAGGTGCCCCACTTCTGCCTGCAACTCTCCCTTGCCCGATACCACAGCTGACCTCTGAGCCCCACCCAGCAGAGGCACAGCATCCTAGGCATGGAACTGCAGCCCTGTGACTTGACTTTAAAAGCTAAGAAAAGTACACCGATCACAGGCACATAAACAAAAAGGTTTAGCGTATTCAACAATGTCTTTAGCTTTTTTTAAAAAAAATGCCAACTTGACAGCTGAAGGCTAAGTCCTACGAAAGGAATAAATTAAGCAGGTCACATTTTTTTTAAAAAATTGGAAAGTTTCCACCTGATGGAGAGAATTTACTCTAAAATTTGTATAAATACTAAGTGAGATTTCCTAGGACATTTCAATGTGTTTCAAGGACATTCTGATCATGTTTTTGCAGGCAAATGGGCTTCACAACATAAGGGGTTATCTTTCTATGATGTCTTCCTTCTGGGATCCTTGCTATTAGAAGACATTATTATGATGAGGCCAGATGTTCTGGACGCTAACGGAAATGACTGTTAACAGTGAGAATACTTCCTCTAATTGGAACACATAGTGCGTGCTTGCTCTGGTGCTCAAACACCCCATTTTTATCATCTCATGTATCCTTTCTGCATGCTTCGAAGCAGAGATATCATAGCATATTAAGATGTCTAGTAATATTATGTTTTCTACTTGAGAGCATTCACTAGCTTTATGCACATCCCCAACTGTGCCCTTGTAACAGATGGAATTTCTAAGCAAAAATTCATAGGGTCAGAAAGTATCAGAGCCAAAAGAGGCTACTGATGTGATCTAGTTCAAATCCTTCCCTCCATGGAAATGGAGGCTAAGACTTACAAAAGGTTCCTCGTGTGTCCAAAGTTACATAACCAGCCAGGTGCAAGGCCAGGAGGCCTGCCACCAACAACCCACTCACCTTTCCCTATTTCTGAAGAGTCTTATTGGTCCTCAGACCCTCCAGGCAATACATGCAACATGGGGTCACCCTTTGGGAGCCCGTGACCTAGTGGTAGCTCCAAAAGAAATTCCCAGAGCAGCCCCTCTCTAGCCAGTCTTGGGTTTATTGGAGAAAGACCAGATATTGGACCTCTTCTCCATATCAGCTTTGGGACAGGAGCACAATGATTTAGACTTGGTGGCTGTATGCTTGCCTCTAGTTACAAAATGAAGAGCATCTCACCCACGTACGATTTTTCTCTCCTCCATGCCTTCTGGCTCCCCCACGAAGCCCTCCCTGACCAAAACCTGTGACTTCCAGCGTTTGCCAATTTCTGTGGTGTAAATATGACCACTGTGACCCATTTTCAGCTCCTCATGTGACATGACCGAGCATGGAAATTAAGAAGAGACACACACAATCCGCCCCCGAGCCAGGACGGGGTGGGGGGCCAGCACACCCCTACGCGGCTGCCCCATAGCTTTTCAGGTTATGCAACGAGTACAGGTCGAAGAAGACACATTTGTTGAAGAGAACCATCTTTCCTGCTTGCCTGCTACTTTCTGGGGTGGCCCATTTTGAGGACCAAGTTCTCTTAATTAATGAAAGACTGGACTGTTCTCATTAAAAAAATGCACGGTTTTATTCTCTTAGATCCTTTTGGGAATACTAAACTAACTTTGCACCTTAAAACTGGTTTCTCAGGAGGTTCTTAAGTGCCAACCAACTACTGGCGATGTCATTAGCAGCAAGACTGGAATTTCGGTGCATGGTAGTTTTGGTGGGGACATACCGGACTGCCAGAAAAGATTGCTCTCCACTATCTTGGTCATGCAGTTCAGTTTCTGGCGAACTAACTGGTTGTCAGGGATGCTTTGAATGAACTTGCAGAAGAGCACGCTGCAAGAGAGATCCCAGAGGTTAGTATTTTCCTTCTGTCACACTGAAGGTAACATTCCACGGCTCTCCTCGACTCTGAGATCTGGGCTTGGAGAGTTTTCCCTGGAAATCTCTCCCAATGCCCTGCGAGTCTGCCCCTTGGAGGTAAAGCCGAGACTGGGTTGCACACGCGCTGCAGCGCTCAGCCTCAGAGCCGCCTCTATTTAAACCGCCCAAGCACAGTCACGGCCACCCGGGCTCTGTGGATCTGCCTGAACACTCCTCTTCTGCACAACCCTTTCCTGGCTAACTCCACCCCGGTGTCGCTCACCATCTGACTTTGCATTGCTGGGTGCTTAGGGATAGGGCTGGAAGCGTATTATGTACTTTCTTCTGGAGTTAATTTCACGTCTGCGTGTCTTGATTCCCCAGAGAAAAGTGCAAACCTCTCTCAGGGGCAGGCTTTGTGTCTTCTTTTACATTTTCCACAAAAACTGAGCACCAGAAGGGGTTCAGTTAATACGTGTTAGAGGAATAAGAGAATGTGCGGCAGCCCAGGCCCCAGCCAAGCAGGGGAGCTGCTTCTTTGTTAAAGTCAGTGAACGTGCTCTGCTATTTACCTGAGCTCCACGGGATCAAACACAAGTTTGACGTCGTTAATGATACTAGGAAGGTACTTCAGAGCTGCCCCCTGTAAGAAAAATACCGAAAGGCAAATTCAGTTGCCAAGCAGGACAAATGCAGAATGTATTACTTAATCCCAGGAAGAAAAGGCTTGCATCTACATAGGGAACTGCACATAGATGCTCTCGCAGTAGAGAGGACAGATAAATGTTGGTAACGGTGATTGCCTAAAAGCTTTTTCCTAAGAGGTCAGATGGCACGGCCTTTTCTTTTTCTTCATTATCAACAGGTACTGTTTGTTTGGAATTCATTTTTCTATCTAAGGAGGTAGTTAAGATCTTGACATCTCTGTCACAAGGTGGCCATAAAGAACAAAGAATAAATCATGAAGTTCAGATCTGAATCCTTAGCGATGGCATATTTTACATGAAAAAATTACCAATTATGAACATGATGGTGACTTTGGGCTTCTGGGAAGAATGGGGGAACTCAGAATAAAAACCTGTTGTCTGTAACACTGGGATCAATTGGCTGAATTCACACAGGCCACACAAGCCTTTGGTGGGATGTCTAAAAGCATAGTTTGTCTGTGGCAAACTGCCATTTGAGAATACAAATGGACATAAAAGTTAAAACACAGGTTCTCCTTTTACTTTTTGTAAGTACTAAAATTCACAGGCTTTCCGCGAATGATGATTCACTTGGCTTCTCTCCTACCGTGTCCAGTTCTATGTTGTCACAGAACCTCAAAAACGAGGTACCTAGGCTGATACCATGCTGACCTTGATCTTGACAGCTTCCTCCAGGGGCCTGTCCATTAGCATATTGAAAGCAAGAAATAACTGGCGGATTGAATTATTAAATTCATCTCCATCTTCGCTTTGGCCATAAAATCTTAATAGGAGAAAGAGAAAAGCGGTCAGGTTTTCCATCTTTAACGACTGATTTTTTTTTTTTAAGATTTTATTTATTTATTTAACAGAGAGAGACACAGCGAGAGAGGGAACACAAGCAGGGGCAGTGGAAGTGGGAGAAGTAGGTTCCCCGCCGAGGAGGGAGCCCGATGCGGGGCTTGATCCCAGGACTCTGGGATCACGACCTGAGCCAAAGGCAGACGCTTAATGACTGAGCCACTCAGGCGCCCCAGGTTTTCCATCTTTAAAAAGAAAGTTTTGAAAAGATCTGTCGCCTAAGCAATGCTGCAGGCCCATGCCTCCCTGGTCACCACTTGAGACTGTGCAAAGGGAAGGTCAGAGGGTGCTCCAAGATGGTTTTAGGGAGACGCCCAGTAGGCTGACAAGATATTACCACCTGGACAAGAGCAGGTAGGAATTTTTACATAAAGTCCTACCACAGAGCTCTCCACTTGGTCCACTATGGTCAGCCAGTCGGGAAGGACTCCCTTGAAGCTCTATGAAGCTGTCTGTCCTAGCGGTGTATGGGCACTTCCAGCAGAGGGGGGAACAGCAGGAAGCTGCTCTGCCTGAAGGAGCAGATGAGCCCTGTGCGCATGCCCACCTTCCTCAGCTCATTAGCAGAACGCCCGATATGCAGGGGACTCCCCCAGCTCACTTTCCCAACCCACACTCTTGCCACAGCCTATCCTCCAGCATCCCTCCTGCCCTCCTCCCTCGTTCTCCACTTCTACTCTCTCCGTCTCATCTCTTCAAGCCCTGATCATTTGAGCTAAGGTTTCAGACAATGGGTACAGAAGCTCCTCGAACCAGCAACCTTCTGAACCCAATCCAGTCTGCGAGTCCAGGAAAGCCAATCTTTACACTGAAATGGCCAGCTGGGTGCTGACCTGTTCTATAATCGGGCCTTGCGGCACACAGGTCCACCTCGCCTTCACTGATTCATGCTGGTTTTGATTAAGGCACTCTGCTTGTCTTCAGGATTTGTCCATCTGTTGAAAAGTTGGTTCTTTCTTATAAGTAGAAATCAGAGGTCTTTAGCCCATTTCTCAGAAACATGAAAGTCCCAAATTGTAGTCCAAGTGCATTTACACTGGGTGGCAATATTACCACCAACTGGTCAAGAGTAGGGATCATTTGGAATCAGGATTTTGTACACACACACACACACACACACACACACACACACACGCACACACATATTTAAGTTTGTCTCAATTCACCTACACCTTATAAGGGACTCGTGGAATGCCAACTCCCCTGAGAAAAGTATTCAGTCAGAGGGTTATTGGTCATTCTCAATTCATCCATTTAGCAGAACTAAAAAAGAACTTTACTTGCAACTTAGTCCACAAAGTATCTCAAAATTAACATACACAAAGCAGAATCCCCCTGATTCTCCTGATCCTCTTTAGTATTCCAAGTCTTGGCAAATCAGCACCCAAAACCTGGAAGTTATCAGGATTCTTCCCTTCTTCTCATCCTCCCACGGAATCTAACAGCAAGGCCACCTTGCATTCTGCACCTGTTGGAGACGGAGCCACTGTGTCTCACACTTGAACTGCAACAACCCATTGTGTGCTCACCCAGGGTTTGCTCTTCACCTTTGATGATCCACTTTCCACTTAAGAGATGAGATGATCATTGGAAATGTAAGCCAGATGTTACCGCTTCTCTAACTGAAACCCTTCAATGGCTTCCCAGTCCACTTGGGTAAAATCCAAACTCCTTACTATGGACTGCCAAGTCCTACCTCGTTTGTCATTCGCCTGCCACTCCCCACTCCCCCATTCCCATTCCCCATGCTCCAGCAGCACTGGCTTCTCCCGATTTCTCACACAGGCCCTACAGAACCTCGTGCACACCGGCACTCCTCCTCCCTGAGACCTGCACAGGTGGCCTCCTCCTGTTTGGTCTCAACTCAAATCCCAATTCCCGGAGACGCCTTCTCCCTCCCTGGTCATTATCCCCCCAAGGCCTCCCCAGCTAGCCCTTACCTATTTGAAATAATTTTAAGGTTTCTTTCTTCACTATTCGCCTCCCTGGCTTCAACCCAACCCACAAGCACCATCAGAGCTGGAGCCTTGTTTCGTCTGCTACTAGACCCCCAGGACCCAGACCAATACAGGGCATCCTCGGTGCCAGGCATTTAAATAGAGTGGACTAGGGGCGCCTGGGGTCTCAGTCAGTGAAGTGTCCAACTTCTGATGTTGGCTCAAGTTGTGATCTCAGGGTCCTGGGGTTGAGCCCCGCATTGGAATCCACACTCAGTGGGCTGTCTGCTTCTCTCCCTCTCGCTCTCCCTCTGTCCCTCCCCCCACTCGTGCATGCTCTCTCTCGAAACTCGATCAATCAATCAATCTTTAAGAAAAAGGGCATGGGTGGGGGACACCAATACAAGACTGAGGTGGAGTTCTCAATGCCCTACCATGGGCAATTTACAATTTTAATTCTCCCTAGGTGTCTCCTGAATGGAGGTCAACTCCAGCCAGGAAATGAGCTCAGAAAGGAATTTAAGCTCTGAGGAGGGCAAAGGGGCAATGGAGGGGGTGTGGGGGTCTGGGGGGGGGTGACATTTCATTTGTAGCTCCTGGACAGGGCCAGTAAATTGATGTCTATCTGATCTAAGCAATCAGAGAATGTAGATTTCCAGGCTTGCTTTCTCTGATCAAGCTCTTGTGTAACGAGAAACAATTGGAGGGGTAGAAACAATTGGAGGGGTGGGGATAACCATAAGCAGGTGCTCAGGGACCAAGTTCAACACAGCAACTCCCTTAGTTAATTTCATGGGCTACTTAACCACCCGAATCTTGGCTTTTCCATTGTTCTTCTCCTAAATGATGTTGAAAACGATGGCTCAGATGCACTGCAACATTGTGAAGGGTGACACACTACTGAGTCATCAATGAAAAATATTTTTCAATTTCATAAATTAAGATTTCCGTTCTATGGTTTTATGAGGATTTTTATTCCTGGACATCAGGGTTTACTATACAAATGTTTAGGTTAAGGGAAATGTTCCCTCAGTGGGACACTCCAGGCCCTAAATGAATTTGTGGAAATTTAACATAACTGCAGAACGAGGAGCTAGCTATAAAAGAAGCCTGTCTGAAGAGAGATGGACTAGAGATTCTGTATAAACCCCGCAATGGGTAAACACCACTCGCTTCTGCTAGGCAAGGAGGAATTGTCATTCACCCCGCTGAACTTTTAAGTCATTAAACGTTTTTAAAAACTGTAAAAATGTACAAAATCACTGTGGGAACTCTAAAATGCTGAAAGAATAAAAACTACTTAAAACCCTCTTACCTACAGTTTTATTCCTACTAAAATTTTAGTTCCCAAACCTCTATTTTTGAAATGGGCTCATACAGGACTTATGTCTTACCCTTTAGTTTTATTATTTAAGAACCTATCATGGTTATCTTTGCTCATTAACATACCCTTTCTCATTCATCTTTGTTCACACCTGCTGGGTTATATTCCAGCAGATAAATTTTTAGATGGGGTATTACCAGACAAAGGTGGTGTTTTCTTTTGCTTTTTGTGGGTTTTATTTTGTTTTGTTTTTGCCTTTTATTCATGGTGTCAAATTTCTGCCCTTAAGAAATTTATATTCCTATCAGCATTAAAATGCAGGAACAATTTTTGTCCAATTTCATCAAAGGATAAAGATTTTTAATCTTTATCAAATGTATAGAAAAAGATAGTATGTGTGTAGGGCATATTGATCATATGGAATTTTTTTTAAAATATTTATTTATTTATTTATTTATTTATTTATTTATTTATTTATTTATTTAAAGAGAGTGGGGGCAAGGGCAGACGGAGAGGGAGAAAGAGAATCCCAAGCAGGCTCCCCACTAAGCACAGAGCCCCATGCAGGGCTCAATGCCAGGACCCCAAGATCATGACCTGAGCCAAAATCAAGAGTTTGACACCCAACTGACCGAGCCACCCAGGTGCCCCTGAATATTTTTTAAGGAATTTAATTTACCATTTGGATTTTTCTCTTATAAATTATCTGTTTTTGTTTTCTATTATTTAAGGATGTTTATGATTCTTTGATTGGTAAGAGCCTTCTAATTAAAGGCCTTGATCTATACTATACGTTGCAGACCTTTTTAATGTTAATTGTTTTCCTTTAATTTTATGATTTTTTTACACATACCAAGTTAAAAAGCAATACAAATGCTCAAATCTAGACTTGAAACCCTCTTACTATAGTTTTAGTCCTAATAACATTTTTTAGCATGCTATCTGTCCAGTTTCCAAACCTGCCTTAGCAATACATTTGAACAGTTTGGAAATCCAGCTGTTACTGAAAGGTAGAGATGGCAGCGGGGTTGTGGGCATTCCCAGACAAGTTACTTCCTCATTCTTCGTCTCTGCTTTTTTTTTTTTTTTT